TAGTAATTATCAGAAGTTGTGTGGTAATCTGCAGTAGTTGTTGTATCCTCAGCATATTTGGGCAAGTTAGCTAACTCTGACATTAGCATTATTTTATTAAGATAATAATTTGTTACACACCTCATCTATTAAAAAACAATGACACAATCGGGCACAGATCTAGACAAGATTTTCTTGAAAAGCTTTATCAGTCAATGTGTGGCGTGGTCATTGCTCTATGATAAGAAATATGACATCGCAGACATGAGCAACTTATGAGTGGGCGTGCTTCATCAGTTTCTTACTGATATTGACAAATTCATTACGGTACAAAAATTAAACAACTCGCTTGAAATGTGTCTAATGATATGTTATGGATGGCCGTAAAGGTATTTTGGAAATACCTCTAAATACAATTCCTAATGAAAAATACGTTCAAAAGTTCAGCAACTTTGTGTGAACTTTCGTTTGCAGAATTAAGAACGTATGAACACAACTTAAGTCGAAGGATCGAATCCAATTTTTAAGATTTCACAGTCCATGTCTAATACAAAACACTACATTTTTATAAGATTGCACTGATAAGAGAGACATGTGTAGCATTTTATTGTATATGCATTTGATTCCTGCTACAGTTACTCAGCCACACGATCTTCTTCCTTTTGTGTGAGGATAATCTAACACTCATCCTTTTTGCAATGCAGATAGGATTTGAAACTTGGTTTGTGGACGAAACCATTGTTGCGATTGAGTGATTAAGAAGAGTTAAACCTAATTTAAAATTAGGAAACTACTGATCTTCTTATTCGACAAGATTTCAAAATATTTTGGACTCTCGAATTAAAGAGATCATTATTCTTACTTAAAAGCTGCAAAATGCTTGCAGGTATGAGTCTATAACAATTTAAACAACTTTGACCAAGGCATGTCAATTATTAGTGATAGCTTCGAAGAGTACCTCAGTTCACTCACAGGTGCAGTACATTCATACTCTTCAACATGTACGATCGAGTTACCTGTCGCAGAGATGAGCAAAAAAAAGTGACGATCGAAAAGTTTGCAAGTAATTCAATGAAGCCGACGATGATATATAACTGCAAAATAATTTCATTTTCACACGCTCATTCACAGGCTCATTTGGTCATTCGCTGGTTGCAGGCTTCTTTGATGGTGCTAATTAAGCAAGGAAAACAGTTTTATGTGACAATTAAAAGTGTAAAATGTGTGCATTACCATCTTCTTTACGTTGCGTAACACAAACAAACGAGAAATTAGGGAAGAATAGAGCCGCTGATGGGACGAAGGTGAAATCGAGCTAAACTCGACATTAATTAGGAATTTATTTATAAATAAATGATGCGCACACTTCAAGAAGTTATCAACAACACACTTGTTAAATGGACCTAATCATAGGCATTGCCTAAAAAATGCTCTATTCCATCCGTCCACATGACAAGTTTAAGGATAACCTTCAGAATAATAATCATCTTCATGGCAATTTAGGGCCCAGGTATGACTACCACACAATGCTTCAATCGATGCGTAAATAAAATGTCCCAAAAATTGACATCATGATAATTTCACTGATTCCGTCGAGTGTCAACTGCAAATTATATGGGTATCGATTTATAGCCGCACATTATTGCCCATTATAAATGTCAGGATTGAGCGACTATAAAGAAAAGTTGACAGTCGATTTTTTTCGACACTATGGACACAATTGGCAAGGAGAGTGACCCTGAACTGTGGCAGCTACGAATGGCACAGCTCAATATTTGACCCATATTCGATGTACGCAGTATACATACTTGGCTATTTTTGACCGTCAATCTGGTTAAACCATGATTGATCGGCTCAAATTGAATAATGTATCCGAAACCATGGGTAAAGCTATCATAGTTGAAGTTTTAGTAAAGAAAAAAACACTTCCCATCTATCTTCATATTTATTTTTAAGTGTTATCCTTCTGTTTTGCAAACAGCTTTCAGACGCAAAAATCAGAAATGTCCAATAATCAACAATAATTTATGCTCTTTGCAATTTTGTTATTGATTGTAAACACGTATACTTGGAAAAGTATTGCTATTCCTAAAATTAACAGTTTTGTCACACCAACTTTGAGACAATGCAATTTTTAGTACCCTGTAAGTAAACATCCATATTTATGCATTTATTTTGCGCATTACAATATTTCTCACAGTACTGAACGCAAAAGTAAATAAACCTCGAACTTCTCCATGAACTACATAATACGCAGTCCAACCCTTTCCGGATTATGTGTGTATTACTTCAAAAGGTCACTGAGAATATCAAAACTGAACATGCAGACACCAATCTATAAACATATTTCCTACTGCTAAATGCCTATTTATCAGTTTTTGATTGTACCGGAATAGGAATAAAATAGTAATAAATCCGCCCCTGCGTAATCTCCCTGTCATTGTAGGACAAGGGTACACAATAGATATCCCTTTACGGAAAGGCGTTGCAATTTAGTAATAAAATAATGCGTGCTCGCCATATGCGATACAATTAATGCGCTAACCTCACTAAAGATCAGCAAGCAACACTTTATTAAATAGTTGGATGATATGTATGACAAATCTGGCTTCTTTACAGATCTCTCACCACTTCTGCGACAAGGCTATTGCGATAACACCCACCGCCGTGAAGAGGAGCGTGAACTTGATGACATTCAAATATAAGCAATAATCATAATGTGAGCCTTTAACTCCATTTATGCAACTGGGCTCATTGTTTCAGGAAAATTTAACAACTCTAATTGATTAATCTCTAATAAATGCACTTCCTCTTCGCCTGGTCAGTAATAACACAAGCGTCACTATTAAGTTGAATAGGTATCATTTAAACTGTGGATAAAATTCTAGGTAAACATACTTTGTTTAAACAATGGAAAATTTTAGCTGGAAAAATGCACCGTAAAAACACACATTTACGTACTTACTTCCTGCGTAGCCTATTGAATCAACATATAATCTCCCTTTACTCACTGGACAATATGACCCTACTGCACTCGTAAAACTATATGCAAATGGATAACATCACTCTGTCAACGTCCAACCACAACCCATGTCAACATGAACAAATTGCAATAACCAAACCAAACTATGCGTCCTAACTTTATAGATCACAATGATTGATTTGATCTAGTTCGGTGCCCTCAGTCGTCAAACAAAGTAAAGAGTAGATTTCATGAATTTTGACAATATGTACGCTTTGGGCGATAACTAGATGTGGTAGAACAGAGTGCGAATGCTATAATAAACGGCAGCGATGCATGGTTTTATCCATGTGTACATATTTTATGTTTGCGTAAACACCGCAAGCTATCTAACCTATGGTCGCATCTATCTATTTGTTTATAAACGTTGCCATCAGTCAGACCAAACCAAGATACTTAATCTCAACAGTTTTCCTGTTGCGCGTTACACTGGAAATAATTGATTCACATAGAGCACTATTACGCAATAACGCGGCTTGGATACGGTGAGATGATCAGCATTCGGGGAAATAATTCGCTTTATGGTAATCCTTTTTTTGCAGTAAATTTATTTAATGTTCGCATAATATTAGGTGTTGCAGTGCGAGGTGTGGGTGGAAGTAGAATGGTTATGCTAATTGAATGATTCATCAGTCCTCGCAGGAAAAAAATAAACTTTGTGATCTCATGCAAAGTCACAACAACTTCATTAAGCGTGATTTGGGGGACATTATTGTCCAGATTTTGGATAACTTATCATAGCGTCGTGGGTAAATTTAAGGTACAAATTTTACTCCTGGAAAAAGACATGCATACAAAGTTTGGTTTACCTACCGTCTTAAAATGTATTATACTCCAGCAGATCTTCAGCTCAGCGTTGTAAATACGTATCCCACAAAGTAAGTATATTTTTATATGCGAGTGCGTCACACCACACGCAAGAACAATGTTCTCTTTCAAATATGCATGAAATTCACAGTTTACTCAGAAATCGTTGAACAATGAAAAACTTGTACTTATTTAGCAGCTTATGATGACGCTTATGCACAAGTGGTTCCCAACAATTTAACGTGTTCTCATGCCCAAAGCTCAGAGCATACTAGTCAATCAGCTCGATTCAACACTCACTTTCCTCGCACTACATAACATAACTAGATAACTTTACAATGCTGATATTTTACCGTGATGATGATGCTGCTTAAAGCAAAGCAGTCATTCATGGGATGTTACTTTACTTTACTTCAGGCCAGACTAACAGCTACCACATGCACCACTACCAATAGTTATGTTTGTTAATCTATGTATGTAACTATTCCTTAGGGATGAGTCAACTTTAAGAAATGCAACGCAGTTGAATTCAAAAAATTTTGTACCCGAAACTTTTTGATAATATTGTGTAACAATAATCCGTCGTCAACAATCGGATTTGAAATACCTGTAAGCATTTAGAGGTCCCTGAAATCATCTCACCGTAATTTTCGTTAAATAAACCATCTTGTATACGCGACACTTTTTGATAATATCGCGTAATAATAACCCATCACGAACAATCGGATTTGAAATACCTGTCACTCATTAAACATTTTCAGGTCCCTGAAATGATCTCACCGTAATTTTCCCCTCAAGTCGGTCGTATTAATACACATTTTAACTTCCTCAGGGTCGAGGTAATATAATAATACACAAGAGAAACAAACATTCCAATTCAGTCACCAAAATAAAACAGCCCATTGTCAAACTACTATAATGCTCCGTCGCATTTTTGCATTGTTCAATTTCCTTCGCCCTGAAATTATAAATTGTACGTGGAATCGTTAAAAATAAATGTGCCATTATTACCGACTTGTCAAGGATATTGGCATATTTTGAGTCGCATGAGGATAACCCAGAGCTTATCACGAGGCAATTAGCAGATTTTTTATTTTGCATACGGGGAGAAAGCGGAGTTAGTCTCCTCAACTGATAGCCGACAGGTATTTCATGGGATCGAGTCGCGTAGCCCCAGCTGGGCAAACTGTGAGCGAGGCTGGTTTGAGACGCAGTTAGAATAGGAATTTCCTGCAAGTTAATTGTTCCTTCTCCTTTGTAAATTAGAACAATAGCCTTGCTGGAATTTGAAAGTTAATTAATTACCTCCGATATTAAGTTATAGCTTCGTGGCCTCCATCCAGTGGTGGCCAATGATGTGATGGTGGTCCCCTGACACGGTTTTGTTTCTTGTGGGTGAAAAATTTTATATTTTTCTCCTGTGTGTTTTAAGGTCATCATATCTAAAAGGTAGTTTTGATTTATTTCAGACCTTTCATCCTGGAGACTGTACGAGGTAGAGGAACTTTAGCCGTAGTTTTCGGATTAACTGCAAGTTTGAGCTTTCCTACTTTATTTATCTGAAAAGATGATGCGCTACGGGAGAGATGATGAGAGGTCCCCGGAAAGTCCGCCACCTTATGATTCTTATCAAGGAAGGTGTTTGTACACTTCCAGAACTAAGATTCGAATAGAGACGGATGAAGAAAGTTTTCAATATTCTTTGGATCGGAGTGGCTATGAAACAGGTTCTGGACGTCAGGATAATAGGGGTGATTTTGAAGATGTGGGAGGATTTTCGAACTCTCCTGGTTCGAGTATTCGTAGGGATAGAATTCATGAAACTGGTAGGGATACTGGTAGAGATAAGGGAGGGTTTTGGTCGCATGAAGATCGACCTAGGTCTAGAGGTATTACCATTAGTCATGAATCGCACTCATCACGCCAATCAACTCAAGAAAATTCATATCGTGATCGAAGTAATAGTAACAGTAGCAGAGATGGGAGACCTTTATACGATCTTGTAAGTATATACACATGTTGCTATTGAAAGTCGTCTTATTATTTATTTCATAACTTAATCAAATTAATAGGAGTCTGGCATCTCTGGTATTGGGATGTCATTTCGCACGGCTGCAGACTCTGGCGATAACAAGAGACGTGGGCTAATCACGCCTCCACCCCCACGACCTAAAAACTGCTGTTGGAATTGCAAAGGAGATCACATGATTACGGAATGTACTGTGCCGAAAGACCCGATGCGAATTGCTGTGAATCGAAAAGCGTTTTTGGCCTCAAAACCTCAGCGCACCGATTTCAGCGGTGGGGGACGTCCGAAACGATACCATGAAGAGCAACCTCGTAGCAACACAAGACCTGGAATACTTTCCGACACTCTACGATACGCTATGGATCTTGAACCTGAAGAGGTCCCGATTCACGTGTACAGAATGAGGATCTTTGGATATCCTCCTGGATGGCTGGAAAATGCGATGGAAGAAGCAACGGGTGGCCTCAAGTTGTATGGAGATTCCAGTAAGTCAAACTCATACCCAGTTACATTAACTAAATAAAGAGCTAAACTTCTTATTTTAGTTATGACAACTTCAAGAAAAGATCCTAAAATCGATCCAGATAATATAATTCGGTATCCTGGCTATAATGCTCCGATGCCATTTGGCCAGTCAGATGTAAGCATTTAAAAGCTAAGAGAATGAGTAATAATATTGAGCTTATACTTTAACTGAAAAATAACTATCTTACAGAGAAGCAAAGATTATAATTGTCCACGCTATCGACCTGAAGATTCGGTTGATAACATGATTAGGAAATTAAACTCAAAGAATTTGGTCAGCCAAGGGGATGGAATTGTTTCTCAGACCATGCAACCTCCGCAATTCGATTCCCTCTTGGGTTTGGACCGACCAGTGCTAAATGACGGAGCTAGTCACGGAGTTGGTCGAGGCCGGTTTGTTGAGGTTGATACGCTGCCTCGACATCTTCAACCGGGGGGTCGAGGGATGCAAAATGCTAGACCTGTATTTCAAGGAAGAATTGACCGAGAAATCCGCCCCATGTCACGACCTACGCAATTGATCGTTGAGCAAGAAATTGATAAGCGATATCTTCCTAAGCCATCAAGACCAACAAGTCAAAAAAGATCCCGTCGACACACACGGTCCCCTTCGCCCTCATTGTTGCGGGATGCAAACATGTTGCATTCTATGATTCCTAAACCTTCGGGTAATTTTGGTAGATCCGACAGTCCTGTGATAATGAATCTTCCTTCTGCTTCTGGGTCCCAACGAAACGCAGCTACTGGCAATTCTGACGATGAAAGTAGGGGAGGCTCATCGGCGGGTTCTACAGGCTCGTCAAACGACTTTGTGCCAGTTTCTCCTGTGGCAAAGCGTAAGAAAGAGACGAAAAAATCAGCGAGTGACGACGACGTCATAATAATCTCCAGCGAAACAGGTATAAGCATTATACGTTGTCGCTAATATGTTAATAAAAACCATTATTTGGGTGAATTATTATTTGAATGTATTAAATACGGTGTAAATCTGTAGAGTTGAAATCTACAGTTGATTACGATTCCGACTGCCTTGTAATTGACGATAAATCAGTCAGCCCTAGTAAATCTACAAGTAGCTGTGCATCACCACAGAAGAAGATTGTTCCAAACCGAAGTTCGGTTGCCAAAAAGAGTAGCAGAGTGATTGTGGAGGATTGGGAAAATGATGATGATGAAAATGGAAGTGACAATAACTCGTCAAAATGTAACTGGCTTCATTATCTATTTAATAGAAATAGAATATATTACTTATGATTTAACTTTTAATATTTAAAATTATTATAATAATGAAATATTAAATGGAATTATATTTATTATAGTTGTTACAACCAGCAACCAGAGACCTGCGTCCCCAGGATCTTCAACTGGAGATGAAGAGACCTTTGTAGTCAACCTTGATTTTGAAAGTACCTACATATACACATCAATCGATTTTATAAACTAGCTGCATTATGTTATTATATATCTTATTGATTTACTGAATGCACAGCAGCCGCTCGCGCAAAGAAAGCCAGAGGTTCAGGATTTCAAGAAAAATTTGATGAAGATTGGGAGACAGGTAGCGCTAACAGTGATCGCTTAGTTATTGACGAAGGTAAATTTTAAAGCGTCAACCAACTTGATGTCTTTATTATTTTTATACCTCTAACAATATAATCAATGAATAGAGCACGAAGATGAGGAAGAAGTAATCAAGACCAATGATACCCAGTGCAATGTCAGTGCAATAGAGGATCTAGAACCCGAAGTTACCGTGGTTAATACTGAAAAGACAATCTCGCCTGTACGTGAATTTATTCCATCCAATCCGAGTAAGAATAATTTCCAATTGTGCAATTTGTGCCTGAAATATGTCATATTTTACAACGCCATTTTTACGTAGAAAACGAAGTGATTAAAGAAGTGCTCCTTGCGCAACTTGGAGAAGGGGACCGCACGGATGAAAATGAAGAGTCCTTTACATCACTGCCAGCTTTCGAGAAGTTTGCACAAGGACTGCCGGAAATGGTATTTGAAGATGCCGCACCAAGGATCGGTCGTCTAGATAAAGTTCTCCAGGTTCTGAAGACACGAAAGAGTGCTGGAAATAACATTATCTCACCAGATCAGCCATAGCCAAGTACTTACCGTTAATTAATTATTAGTCACCTTTCCCATCATCGTTATTATTAACATTATTCATTATTCGAATTTTTAAAAAATAGGTGGCTACTGTTATTTATAATACACTTAGTTTTAATTTAATTGATTACAGAAATATTTACTCCGCCCACCTAAGCATGTACGATATAAGGGTTTCTGTACATATTGCGGTGTGTGTACAAATATTCCATGTATATTATAATTTTTAGTCTCCTGATGCGCTAGGTCTTACAAGTTGGCAGAGCGAATATATTTTTGCATTGAACGTGGTACCTCGTATAGCTTGAACTATTCAAGCTCAACGGAATATCAACTATTATAATATTAATGTTGTTCACAGAATTATTGGTGTTGTCAGTAAGGGAAGAAAAAACCGAGAAAAAGTCTGTTTTAGCAAAATTTTATGCTTGTTACGAAATAAATTTGATACATTTGTTACTAAACCCTGTCCACTTTGTCAAGTTATTAGTTCAATTTTGGAAAATTACTAATTTCATAAAATACTTTTGCTAACGAATTTCTACAAAAGGTAGAACATTGGGAAAAATGAGATGGAGAGAGACCGACTAGCGAGGCAACCTTGATCGCATATGATACATAATTAGGTAGATCATTTTGTGTAACTGTCACATAAAAGAAGTCATTTTATTCATTTATTTTGTTCGCAGTTTACATTTTATTGTTTTAGTCACAATTAGTTAGTAAACCTTAACGTTACAAAAATATAGCGTCGCGTAGAGAATTAAAAGTATTTTCAAATATAAAGTGTCCGAATGTTTGACAGTAAGGAATATCAATTTCGTAAAACTGTTTTGTTTTTAGTTCTTGTTGATCAGTTAGTTTGGACGTAATTTGTTTGCTGACATTTTTACTGTGATTCAACAATTTCAACATGGCTTGCTTTGTACAAGGAATAACTGCATACATTTCCGGTCTGGTGACGGACATTCACAACACGAAAGACACTGCAATTTGGTATAAAATCCAAGTTGTTGTCAAAGATGTGTTTTGGCATGTGGATCGACGATACAGCGATTTCGAGGCTCTGCATAGAAAACTTGTCGAGACACAAGGTCAGTTGAATATTTGTTTATGTTTAACTTATAATAACAATGGTTAATTTAGGTGTTATTATTATGTTCAGGCATTCCAAGAGACAATGTCGTCCTCCCTCCAAAGAAATTGATTGGAAATAAGGATCCTGAATTTGTCGAACAACGTCGAGCGCAATTGGACATCTATTTAACAAATGTATTACAACTGCTGGGCCGAAATCCCCCCGATGATCTCGCACAGTTTTTTAACCTTCATGAATACGAAATCATGTTCATGTTAAAAAAGTTAGCTGTGGATATATTTGAAAAGGGAGATCAGATTTTGTGCTCTGGAACACCTTTTATACTATCTCCATACCAGGTATGAAATTTTAAGGGCGAGCAGAGCGTCTTATTTTAGACTAATTATCTTCAATTCGGAAATAAAAACAGTAAACGTTTTGGTTTATTGCTTTGCAGATTTTTGCTATAAACGAACGGATGAAAATGGCAGTACCATTTTTGGATTCGACTGACAAACGGAATGATTTTACTCACATTGTGGATTTTTGTACAAACTTGAAGCAGTTGCAAATTGTGGGTAGCAACATACCATTAGGCAGAAGTACCATAATCCCGAACCAGTATGACGTCGACTTGTCCCCATTCAAGTCTTTGGAGGAAATTTCCTTCAAGATGGCAAACTTTAACAAAATAGCTGCTGTAATTAAAATTATATATATAAAGATAAAAATATGCAAATGTATGCTTAATTATTTTATACTTGTATACGGTTTTAGATTGGAGTGGGAAGAGAAACAGTCCATCGGATATCTGTACAAAATTCGCATTTAGAGTCCACGAATGAGCTATTGTTGTGTGATACCGTGTATAAGTCATTCCGTGATGCGGGTCCTTCCCACGTCTGGCCTAATTTACGATCTTTGCACTTAAGTAATAATGTGATCAAGGTGAAACATTTTTCTTGTCACCAAATAAGTATTCCTAAACTAAGTTTACCATTTCAACACTTGAAACTTGTGTCTATTTCACAAATTGGAACTATTTCGTCCTAAATTAATCAATAATAATATGTGTTGCAAACTTTCTTTCAGAGTGTGGAGGATATTGGGAAACTTGCTCCAAAGTTACGATTTTTCGACTTGAGCTTTAATCAGCTCCATACAGTATATAATCTCACATCCTTGCCGGAGTTGGAACACGTTTCTTATAGTGGAAATGTACTATCCTTCATCGGTTGTGATATGAATGTTTTACTGGGAAATGTAACAGTGTTAAACATGTCACAAAATCAAATCGAAAATCTCAACGTTTTCAGCAAATTATACAGTCTCACCGTGCTCAACTTGAGTTGCAATGTAATCAACGATGTGGATGAGGTCCGTATTGTATTATTTTTAACAATGTACCATTAGCAGAAATCAACTACAAAAATATCGTTAACCTCTTTTTACCATCATGAGCTTTTCGTATCTAATAATTTTCACCTGTATGATTTTCTGCCCTTTCATCCTAGAAATCTAAAAGTTTGGATAACGATCCTTTATCATTATTTTCCAATTCCTCCACGTAGAAAACTCTAGCGTATCCTTAAAATTAATTGCATCACAGGGGAAAGAGTTATCATTTTTGTTAGTCTTTATACTTCAATATGTGAAGAAAGTTGACATTTAATTGATGATTTAATTTACAGGTCGCACATTTATCAGACCTACCATGTCTTGAAGTATTAATCTTGACTGGAAATCCGGTAATGAAAAATATTTCAACGTCAATATTATTATAAATTAGATTTAATCCTTTCATATGCTAATTATTATTAAAATTTACATTTTGTTGATCTTATTTCTCTTTAGGTCGCTTCTACCGTCGATTACCGAGTTCGGGCTCTTGCATTTTTTAACGAAAGAGCGAACGATATTTCTCTCGACAATGAGAAAGCTTCGCTGTCCGAAGTCGATCAAATTTCTATTCTTCAAGCAATTGAACAAGCGCGGAGAACTACTTTAATCAACCAACCTCGGCTCGCATTTTAATCGTGTTTAGAATTTTTAATTAAAAATATTATAGTGCAACCAAAAATTTTATTATGATCAATTTTTATGGAATAACTTTATCTATAGAATAATGTTGCTGTTACCATCAACTCTGTGTGCTTTAAAAAAGCTTTATATATGTATACGCATAATACTAATAAAATAGCTATGTTTTTTAAGTATTTACCCCAAAAACAAATGCATAATCTCAAATCAATTCATCTGTTACGCACAACTCTACTCATATCGCAAAAGAGCTGACAAAGAAGAAGCCAAAAAGTAACACCCCTCCACCTTGAAAGACGGAATTATTGAAACCCCCAAAAAATAGAAATACAAATCCACAAAATTCCATTTGAGTATTCTCCTCATATTTCCCTGGAGTCCCCGGATTTCATCCATATATATGCGTAGTATAATTCATTACTCCCATTGTGAGAAAATCCCCCAAGGATTTTCTGGGCAGTGACACAATATTCTTACGAAACTGGTACTGATCAAGTAGGCTGAACAAAATGATTAGTTTGCTTTGGAAATTATGGAGTACTTTACAGCATCACGTAGTATCAGGATGAAATCTTTCTCCTCATTTTCTAGTAATGATCGGATCAGCCAGTAGTGAACTCTCTTTTTGGCTTTCTTTCCATCCACTCCACCAAATTCTACTTATCGAGAGAGACATATTTCCAGCCCGCTTTGCACGCATTGCAGAGTCGACGTATTAATCTAATGCAGCGAGTCCTCATCACTAAATGCTACGAGGAACCTTTCCAATTTGCAGGTGATTTGATTGATAACAAGATGACGACGACGACCCAGGAGCAGAATGTCGCTTACGACTTTCTCTTCTCCCATGCTTTCCAGTCATATTTCTCAAGTTGAGCCAGCTTCTGCCACCTCAGTCCCCGTTGGGTTGAGCCACGAGCAAGAGGGGTTCTCCAACTTTCTCCTGCCCATTTGCTCCTCCATTGTCTCATTTTATCAGCGTAAATTCCGAAATCCTAGGTGAAAGTCGACATTTTACAACCCCCAATTGTACAACTGGGTGTAAACCTGCTCCCAACAGATTCATAAAATCGAGACCATTTTACGATGTGTCCAAGCTTCTGATGGAAAGCGTCTAATTGAAATAAATAATCAGAGTGGGCGAACGAATTCATGCATTTTCGCTGTGGAAGTTTACCTGATTTGATTAGAGGTATGTACTTACGTGTGTAGGTTATAAGTATGTTTATGTAATATTATACTTGGGGAAGTACCATATATGCATCTTATTTACTTCTGTTACATAATATATCCTATTGTCTTTGTTGATTTGAAGAGCTACAAAGCCCACATAAATTCGCACCTTTTTGCTGTTGAGATCATCGGTAAGTTTTCCTCTTTCTCTCACGACTTCATCACTGCATGTGATTATGAATATAAAAAGTTTTGTTAGTTTGATGATGAATCTTTTGTTGTTTTCCTGCCGTATGTACTAACCAAACTACGCACTTTGCAACAGTAGAAGTACACAGTTGACATTTATAAATTTTATGTGCCACCCAACATCGTAAAAGTTTATCCTTTGTAGATGAAGATAATTAGAATGTGACGGTGAATGTATATGCGTTGGGTGAGATGAGAGAGAAAGCTTTCCTTTTCACCTGGTGGAAATACTGCTGCTTCTGCTTCTGATGATGTATATATTTCCAATGTTGATTGGAGGACAGGAATAAAATTTTCTTTGATGTACAAGCAAATGATATAAACTTAATCTCACCCAGGCAAGAAAAATTTATCGGTCTCATTAGGCGAATGAGAAAGCTGGGCGTGGGGCGCTCTGCAAGATAACACGCTTTCTCATGAAATAGAAATTATAACGGATACCTTCGTCTGCAATGGCAAGTGCTCATGGGCATAAATTTGCTTATCCTCTTCCTGCCATCTTATCGCCTAGACAGGGGTGAGGCTTCTCTTTTTCTCCTCTTTATAATAACTGACGATTGTCTCCCATGTTTGGATTTCTACTTCACTCCATGTCATGAAATATGAAAGGGTTGGTGGTGGTGGGTGTTCCTACGTACGTATTGATGTATGTGGAGTACTTCCTCCTCTCATGTTTTTTCACAGGGGGAGGAAGAAGAAACATTGTTATTACTTTCTCTTCAAGTCTTCTCACGAGGTGAAAAGTGGTGGACGCGGAAGGCTTGTTATTCTTGGCAACTAGAATTGCAACTCTTGTCAAACTTATCGTCCAGAATGGTTCTTCTGTTTCTCGTTGATATCCACTCCTCATTTTAATACCGTTGTAAGATTTATTTCTCAGAGGAGCAGTTCGGCAACTTTTTCTCAACCGGTTCAGGCCGATTTGTGACACTCACTCAATAAACTGTCAGCCGATTCGACTGAGCCCCATATGCACGTCCATTTGTCATGATCCAATATGTTTACCAAAAGTATGCATATGTAGTCTGCTGGATAATTTTTCAATGCATGAGTATCATTGTATGCATGGTGTTTAAATGCTTCATATATTTCATGAAATTTTTTGTTACCGATGTGTTTTAGTTTAGTTTAGCAGGTCGTTTTCTGTTCAGAAGGCCTAATCGCATTTATGTAAAGTGAATGTGTTTCCAAATTTTAACTTGTTTCATTCTCCACGTTTGACTTATTTTAATTTCTAGACTAATTTAATTATGTACCTTCTTAAAACCATATTTATTAACTGTGTGTATCTCAAACTCATAGTTAAATCAAATTATGCATAACATTATGGCTCTGAGTTTGTCCCCTTGTGGTTTTCCTCTCTGACTTGACACAGGCCTATGCGATACCAATTGCACTCATAGTTGGTAACCCCGGCCCGTGGGCAAAGTATTTCTCACTTATGTGAGGTTTGGTTCACTTATATAAATATGTGTTCAATTGTATGGGTCAAAATTGGGAGTCAATAACGAGGACCTTTTTTCAACTAAAGCGAAGCAGTTAGGGTCACTCTATTATTTCTCACTCGATCTCACCTGCCCCATTTTAACTTGTATACATTTTACCAGGGGCAAGTAAGCTCTAACTTATTGGAAAATCTTGTTAGTACGAATTAAGTCTCATCTTCATCGACACGTAGTTTCCAACTCTATCATTTTCCAATGAGGGATTGGAGTGAAGGGGAAAGATTGTCTTTGTTTGGTAAGAAATCATACACTTTTGTTATACTACTTAAACGAAGGGGTCCTTAATTACTATGAAATTAATATTTCCTTGTTGATTGCTGTTCTCCAGGAGATCAAACACGAGTAGATTTATTCAATAATGCCCCACTTCATACTAATTAGCAGTCTTTATAAGCAATGTCTTAATAATCCTTTCCAATCTTGGTACATATATTATGCATTTGGTTGAAATAAAACCATGCTTTGTTGGGTGATTCAATGATAAATAGGTCCTTTCGACATTATTCTTGTGAACTTTCTCCGCTGGAAGTAAATTGGGAGTATTGACACTAATTGTAAATTATGGAACATTTTTAGGGCGTCACGCAATGATTGGCTATATGTTCGTATCTGTTAGATGTCATTTCAATTTCTACTTCCTAACTAGTTAAATGGACTAAAATTGCAATTCGCTTTTCAGAAGCGTTTAATTGATATTTGAGTATCGAATTAACATAATAAAAATCCGCATGACAGATTTCTCCAAGGCCTTTTAAGTAGCTGGCTTGCTTTCAATTTCATGGTATAAATGCTTATTGTGCCATTTGTGTAATTAAGTTTCCTGTTGAACGTCGTCCTTTGAAGTACCAATATTGAAAACATGTTGTTTGATTGCCGTCCTTGTCGTGCTCTTATTTCAGAGACAATTAGTTAGAATAAGCAGAATGGGACAATAGATATTTAAACTCCAAGAAGGGTTGTCCTACACGTTATTAATTCTGGGATGAGAATTCGTGTCGTCGAAAACAATTTGGAAGAGGATTTGATCAATTGTTGACGAACTTGTGAGTTTGTCGTAGTCTTAAACTCTTTGAGATGATAAGACATTTCAGGAATATGGAGTCTCACTTTCACTCTTTCTACAATGTACATATCACATTTAGTGTGTATACATACATACCTATCTCAAATGAAAGTACACATGTATACATACGCATGCTAATGTGTACATAAATTATGCGCATAAATAAAATAGAAACATTATGAAAATGCTTGCATTTGTGTTTAATTCAAGCCAAAATATTTCATGCACTGATTAACAGATGGGGAACAATTCTATGATTCTTGTTATAAAAATAACACGCCAATGTGTAACACGTTATCTGTCTGAGTCACAATTTGTGACTCAGAAATGCATATGTGTACCATTTGGAAGGTCATAATGTCCTTTAAAAATGGTATATCCGTTTTACATGCTTGTTATTTGCATCACACCAAAATAGCATGAAAAAATATTACTTTTGTACTTGGAACGTTTCATGTATCTTAAATACCTAAGTCGAGTGAAATTTCCCCTGAACTTGAACCAAATTGTATACATTACTTAACTGACAGACGATTTTTGCACGTGCATATTAATAGTTTTACTCTTTCCAAATTCATATATTGCATGCAATTTTCTATCATCAATACCATACTTTTGCGACAACTGTCACTCCGTCAGTGCAACAGAATTTTCAGACTGGTAAGATTAGCTTAGCGTTAAATCATACTTAATAATTAAATACGTTTTGATTTATTCTGAAGGACCCATTTCAATCAGCATTTTGATCAATTCAAATTCCATGACAAACATTGCATTGTATAACGAATATCGTGTCCTAGATAGCGGCATGAATTAGGCTTAGTATGTAGTCAGCTATGAAATCATTTACTGGTTTTCAACCCAACGGGCTAGCACTTCTGCACGATTTAGAGAAGATACGAATTTCCAAACTCGACGAAATCGCAATTTATACAATTTTTTAGGTGACAGTCGTTGTGTGATATTAGACTTCAACTTCCAGTGTGTACCGAGATTGTGCGTGATGCATGCAAATACGCATTAAGAGCGACATGAAAATATGTAAAATTTTAGTTGTGGGGTAAAAGGTTGGCACCCCACGGTTGGTAAATAGAAAAAGGAGGAGGAGATACCTGGTCAAAGGTCAAGCTCTGTTTGCTCTAATGCAATGAGGTGTCCTCACACATTAAAAGTTGCTGCTAAAGATTCTCCTAAGAACGTCCAATTTTAAGATATTTAGTGCTGGCTTCTTAGACACGTTTCCATTAGTAAATCTTCCGTGTAGGTGTATAGGTAAGTACTTATCATTTATAGGCAAATATAGCTAACATTTGCATATAAAATTGTAAATAGCATGTGTGTAAGTTGGATTAAATCAATTAAAAATGTTTAAGTATGGTCACCTACGCTGAATATGTTAAGTACTTATCTCTCTTCCTCCTTAGCCCTTGCCTTTTAACAACAACTTCATAATCCACCCTACTCGAGACGACAATAGGCATTTAGTAGCCTGCCTACCTGCAAATAGCTCTATTATATTTTCTCTCTCTTATGAATCCGCACAATCATTGTTTGCCATGCAAATACACCAGCATAAATAAATAAAGAGTAATTTCACATAGTGTATTCGAAATAGAATGAAGTAGTCCTGCAAATGGGTGTAGACAGCATACAGAGTATTCTGACAGTAATGAAACTATCAACAAATTGTCTTCAAATTTGGGACCATGGAGGCAAATATATAAATAGACAAATTGGTGTGGAGGTTTTTACAAATGATGATGGAATTGGTATGCAATTGCTCAAACTTTTAGCTATACGTATCCACGTATGTAAATACCACCAGTACAAATTATTGCCTTTTGGAATGGCCGTTGGTCAGTCTGTCCATCAGCTTCCTACTGGAGAAGCAATATGCCAACGTATTTACATGATGGATTTAAAAATACTTTGTTAAACGATTTTTTAATAACCATCCAATAATCCTGTCTTATTGCACATGACTTTCAAGAGTTGAAATGACGAGGTGACATGGCAGATCGTGATATTCAGCACGGCCATATTGACGCATGGATATAGTCAAACTACCGTGTGTGCAAAGCTGCACGAAATGCATATGTATGTCTTTGAAAGGGTCATCCCACATATACACTTGACGCAGTATATGTAGACATATATGCGTATGCAGCATGAGTTGCCCTACTCACTCACTCACCTACACCTTATCAATTATTACCTAAATTTGTTATTTGCACAACTTTATCTGCCCTTTCGGCACAAATTTTTCCCTCGTGCTGTTCTTCCCGATGTTACAGCTAAACACGACTCCTCGTCCTTTTTAGTGAGCAAATGCAATAATGCGAATTGATTGATTCAACGTGTGTAGGCTGGAAATAGGCATACACACATATTTTCATTTTACACAACGTCGTCGTTACCTTTTATACGCGTATTACAAGTATTACAAGCACTTTAGACTCCCAGCACCACTTGTGGAGATGAGGAGACAGCATCACTCATCCCCACAGATTGATTAATTTTTCTGCATGAGTCAGTCAGTCAGGCTGGCAGTTGCATGCCCTTAAGTTTTTTGTCATACATAGATATGCAGTGCGACTAGTAATGTATCTCTCGGATATCAGTCCTCCTTATCTCGACTAATATCGGGATATCTTTCTCCCCGTGAGCATTTGGTAAATGTGGTTTCGTTCGTTTGGTGGGGTGGACTCGCACTTTTGATAAATAGTCAACAGTCGGAGTATGAGAGCACACTGCCGTCAAAGGAACGAGGTCCGAGAAGTGAGACTTGCTGCAAATTACTCATTTTTCCTCTCTCTCTCTTTCCTGCAGGTCGTTGCAATCGCGAGTGAAAGCTGACAGCAGTCTAAACGTATCGTGAGTGAGCAATCATGGGCAGTTTCCTTGGCCATGTTGTCCCTGGCACGTTTTTCTTCGCGTTCGCCTTGTGGTGGCTGTACAATGTCCTCAACCGGTAAGTAAGCAAATCAACTCGGGTTCCAATTTACCATTAATATAATTGAGGTTACGCTGCCTGCCAAACTGTAATGACTTGCACTTCAAAATAGTCACGGTTGTGTTGTTCGCTTACTTACTTACTTCATATTTCTCAGGTTTAAAAAATTTGTGGGAATTGTAGATAAAAAGTGTTTTGTTGTTGTTGGGATGGATGTAAAGGAGAAAGTAGGGAACAGGAAAGTTGAGCATGGAGGTTGATTTCGCACAGGCAGCTTCCGTCCCTGTCATTATGAAAGTGCGGAGAAAGCATTTATTTTCCAATTGTAAGTCCCTACCGACAGTGTAAATGCCCAATCGAGAAAGTGACCAGAAGTAGAAACACGCGGAATTCGGGAAGGTGAAAGCTGTCTCATGCATCTTGATATTGATCAATTTATTCAATAAGCGTGAAGCGTAAACACACAAAGTCGGCAAATATTGTTCATTGGAAAATAATTGAGTTTCGTCGTCGTCGTTGAGTATTATTGGAATTTCATTTTTGCCAGAGAGTGATAGCTCTACCACGTTAGTTGCAGATTGCAGGGGACGTTTTATTTTAATGAGATCGATTTATGGGAGCAGCACCAGCAGAGAAGCAGCGAGTTGAGAAATTGAGTGTTGCGAATTGTGTAAATTGGGAGAAAGCAACTCCTCCTTGGTTCATTGGCGTAAGAGAGAATGTTCCGTTGTGTGTGGCTGAATAGGGTACATAGATTCGATAAAAAGTGGCATACGTGTGATGGGTGGACTTATTAAATTATTCAGCCAAAGTTGAAGAAACACGAACCAGGACGACAGCACGGTCACTCCTGAAATTTCTTATGCATGTACAAGCAGCAACCTCTGGCTTGGTACTTTTTTTTTGTGGTTGTTAGCTTAATGTGACAATGGATATATCCGCCATGTCTGGAAATTTATTATTCTATGGCAACTTTTCACTTTTACCTTAATGTGATTTCCTCAGTTTCATAATGTTTAACCCAATAAACGTTTAGAATTAAGTGGTGAAAACACAGTTTAGATAGTTTATCAACTCAAAGGCTTTTGTACACATGTAGCTTACAAGTTTCATACGCATGATTCAATTAGCACAGATAATTTCATGTTGGGGAAGTATTTTGCAATTAATAAAAAATCTCAAGAGCATCCATCATCCTCGTTCATTTGCTCATTCCTCTCGTAGAAATTGTATCACATTCCTCACAAGTACATAAAAGTACGAAATGTCAATTGGCGAAGGTGTTGAATCCATGTTACTTACGAGCAAAAATACAACTTGCTAGGCAGACATAGCTTGAAAATAATAAACTTTGGGCTAAAGTCGCCAGTACAATTGCATTAAGAAAGCTGCATGCAAAGTCACATGGAGACTAGGTCGCTGTCCCACTCGTCAACCAGACTCAACTTGAGTCACTCAAGTGACGGCGGAATAGTTGTAAAATATTGATAGCATTTTTCCAAATGAACATTTATTCCGTAATTATTGCAGCCATGTTACCGTGGCCGTTTGTCCAGGATATGGTGAATGACTGCGTATGTATATGTATTTAGAAGACTGAATGGCGACCGACGTTTTCATGACTCTTCACCCATAAATACGTAACGTCCTTCTAATTATTGTTACAGCTACCTCCTCTGCAGACGGTTTAAGCCCGACAGTTACAGGAACTCGAGCACTTTTCGCTGTGCATGCAGCAAAAATATTCCAATCGAGTCAATATTGAAAGTTGCAGCAACAACGATAGGAATTTTGGGTAACATCCGACGACTAAATGTCTCACCTCTTCTGCCCAGGGGACTCGGTCAGTTAATCTGAAAATTGCTCTGTCTGTTTTGCAGGAGAATTTGCGACTGCTTTCGACAAAGGAAAGTTTACTCACTGGGGTAAGTCTGAGGAGGAATCGATGACATTCTTCGTGTTCATGCAAATGCAAAGTGCAACTGAATTAAATATAAACTTTGGTTGATGACAGGCAACGCTCAGCACATCACAATGTTTGCATTTTTCGGGCTCAACGGTGTTGTAGACCTACTTTTGCATAAGGGGTGGTTACTCCCTCCCAAATTGGACTATGTCACTGCCGCGTTAGCCTACGCAGTCGAAGGCTTTCTTTTCTACAATCATCTTCACGGTATGCACGCACATTTGAGCAAAAAAAATGACAACTTTTTTGTTGTTACTTCCCACACGATTTAAGGATGTGTCTCACTCGTATGAATTTTGATTGTTGCAGGACGGACTCACATGGACATTGCGGTAAGAATTTGTACTGATAATCCTTTCATAAAGAAAAATGGAGTTGACAGTCAGTTTTTCTGTTCACTCGATGAGTATATAAAAAAAAGAGGACATAAAGGTGTATATTTTGTCTCTGGATGATTGGTGACAACTCGTACACATACTTTCAGTCAGACTGGCATAAAAGCAGTTGATTTGTTTGTCAAACGATGACAAAAGTAGAAGCAAAGGCCGTGCTAAAAGATTGGATTAACATTTGAATTATTAATTTACACTCTATTTCTCTCCATCTGATGAGTGAGTTACTACAGTTGGTTTAATTGAAATGTGGATGTATGCAACAGGTTCACATGTACTTGTTCTATTTGACGGTGGCCTGCGTGGTGTCCATCTTGGCTGAAATGTTCCAACCTAAAAATGTGATGCCAGCACTCTGCCGAATTTTTTTCACGTTTCTTCAAGGCACTTGGTTCTACCAGATCGGTTTCATCCTCTACCCTCCAAGTGGGGACAAATGGGACGAAGAGGACCACACGCAGGTAAATACCGATAACAATTGTCCAGCATTATGTAACTTATTTAGTCATCGTATTACTCACATTTCGCCATTTTTGTACCTCTTACTTTCTCTTTGTCATCGCTTCATCATCATCATTTTATCATTGATTGAAGTGCATGTCCTAAAAATAATTTAGACTTTGAGAGGCTACATACAATAAAATGGGGCGGTACATGATAAGCAGTCCAATTTTACAAAAGTACCTAAAATATGGCGACTTCTGATTATTGCAGATAATGATTATAACAATGATATTTACATGGCACATGGTTGCCATTCTGATAATGATGTTGGGGGTTGGATCATTCATGTGGTTGCGAATCCTGAACTCATCCAACGCTTCGTTACCAATGTATCAAATGGTCGATACGAACGATCTTCCTTCCTCGAAAGAAATTTATGAAGGCAACGGGAGCAGCAAGCACAAGTTTACTAATGGTCATCTTCCGTTCGACAAGTCTGCTTCCATCCAGCACATCCTGGACTCGGACAGTGAAGAGGCGTAAGAAGTCAGCGTGGCGGAAGAGAATTTTCATAAGTTATTTCCTAAGCTATTCCATTCGACCATCCAAAAAGAAAGAATGCATTCACCTTCAACCCGTCATTTGCACAGTGAAGAATGTCAGCATTATTTTACCCCGAGAACAACAAATTCATACAATTTATTTTTTACGTGAAACCAAATTATGCTAAACTACCCTGCCCGTAGGTTCGTATTCTTGATAAAATGTTTTCACCCTCAGTGGAAGTGACCGCTGCCACTCACGGTCAAAATTATTAATCGAGAATATGGCAGTAGCTTTTTACTACGTAGAGTCGAATGAAGAAGAAATATACAATTTTTTAAATTTATCAGTAAAATATAACGTAATTGGAGATCAAACTTACCCTGGAATACTCACTCAACAACCTGTTTGATTGATGCTCCAGAGGAGGTTAGAAATTGACTTCGCCCTGATTCTCATGTGCAACCAAAGACGGGGAGGAACAAGAGGGGTAGACGAAATTAGTATGCAAATGTGCAAACTAATCTTTGGTTAATTAATTAATTAATTGAGTAAACGTGTAGTTTTGCTATGTTTTTTTTGCTTTACCGTGTGCAAATTGACAGCCAATTTCACAGAGTTGCCAATTTGAAATTCATGCGTATTTTATAGTCCGACATAGCCATATTTTTTCTCTCATTAAATACTACATATCTAGTTAATTTTGTTATGTAGACGGAATATTTTATTTATTATGGACCGCGATTATGTTAATACTTTTAATCTTGTCAATTCTAGTTATTTGCATATGTAATAATTTCAGCGGTATTAACTGAAATATATACACGACTTATTTTTATTTACTACTTTAGCGATAATAATGCTTGGTAAATAGGTTGGGAAGAGTAAACTCTGCTGGTCTTAGATAAATGTTAACGATATTAGATAACATTCTACTTATTACGTGTAATGTATGTATCTATGTAACAATCAGGAAAGCAATGCTTCATGAAACTTGTCGTAATATAACCTGTGATCAGACCTGATAAATATGTACATAAATTCGTAGTCAAATGCCAAATTAGATGAAATAAAGCCCTATAAATATTTAGGAAACGAATGTTACAGAAATTTCTGACTTGACGTTGTCACTCTCATGTTCTTTGCATGGATTAATTTCATTTAATACCTGCCCATCAATATGATTAGTCACCATTTCTCTTATTTTTTATTGGCAGCATACGTCACTAGAAACTAGGTACAAATTAGTCATAGACACTTGACTTCGTACACCTGATGAACTGTGTACAAATGTATCATGAATTACTCACTCATTCGCAAGTATGACACGCTTTGTTTGATTGATGTACAAGTGACAAATGCTGCTTATTTATTGCATTCGAGATAAAAACATGGCATTGTTGACAAAATTTTGATTACTATGAAGTTATTGCGTTACTCTAAAGTAAGAAGAAAAATGAAGCAAATGCACATGTCCACTTGAGAAATATATGTATCATCAACTACGTATGCATGCATGCATTTAGCATGTTTTGTTCGAGTAGACGATGCGAATTGTTTACCAGAGTGGACACAGAGTAGCAATAATCATGAATCAGATACACTTTATTAGACGGCCAAAATGTGTTGTAAGTACTTTGAAGTTATTATTATGCAGTAGTTTAGTCGTTCTCGCCCACACCGTACAAGCCAAGAAAGACCAATTGCAATTTCCATATTTTCCATGCATATCTATTCTGCCTCGACACACTCATTATTTTTCGCGAATTTTGGTAATATGGCGAATCTTGATGCATACCAACTTTCATTTTCATTTATCTTTGCTGTTGCTGATGCTGTTGTTCATTCAACTTGACTTCTTCTGAACCCTTCTTGTGCCTTTTAAGGATGTCCCTAGAACAGTAATACAAAATTGTTGTAGTAGTCATTGACACACGCTGTTTGCACCTTGATCATCATTGTCGTTGGGGAAGAAGTCTCGAAACAATAGTCCAAGTTAAATAAAGTTATTACGTATGTATTTTCGAGCAATGTTGCCAACCACCACAGTTGCACTTTGTCTCATTTTGTTTTTCTGGAGTGCTTCAGCAGATGAACAACCACCCTCTGTTGTCCATGTCGCGTCCAGTGACCCCCATCTCAAGGGATCTTTAGGTAAAGTAAAATTTGTCAAGAACAAATACTCGAACTGATACTAAAATTGTCATTTAAAATCCTAATACGTAGTAAATACGTACATATTTGGCTCAAGGCTAGACTTGGGAGTATTAAAAGTTTGGATTTTTAAGTAGAAATGGTTCCCGTTTCCTCTACCGTGATCCCGATCCAAAGTTTGTTTGGAACTCAAAGACCCTCATCGTCGCAATCCGAAACTACCGGAGTAGGAAGCGTAGGCCAAGCTACGTACCCAATCTTTCGGCGCAATGCTTACTCAAGGAGATCAAACTTTTTCCACAAATCAACCAAACCAGGCACACCTGTTCGACTTATTACTACGAGAAGTAAGTATTGCAATGCTGGTAGTTCAAAAATGTCACTTTTGAATTGAACACATTATGAAAAAACTTTCTCGTCTTGACTGACTGAGTTTTTTCCCATGTGGGCGTGGATGCATGGGTTAGTAGATAGCAAGGCAATGCGGAAACCAAAAAATATACACACGGCTCTTTGTAAGGATAACTTGGCTCAGGAATCGATTGTGTAAACGTTCCTTTTCATTCTAACCTTAGAGAGCGGCGTTTGTTTGGATTTGTACAATATCGCAAAACATGCTAAATGTTTCTGCTGATTTTTTAAAATTGGTTGGAATCAGAAATTGGGCCCGAGTCTAATACATCATAATCAAACCATCGCCACTCGTCGCGTAGTAGCTTGAATAATGCCTGAGAAGAATTTATTGATTTCATTTCATGCGTTATATCTGATGAGACTACTCCGTGCGTATTGTGGCACTCAATAAAAGATTGTTTCGTTTTACACACAGGCAATAGAGCTCGAGTTGAGGCGTATGATGGATGACCTGGCGAGAAGGAAAAAATGGCGACAAGAAAAATGGGGATAAAACTGTATAAAAAGACACGATTTATTGTTATACATAGTTCGTTATGCTAGGATTATTTATTGTTCATTCAAAAAAATCATCAGATCTAAGATAATGGAACTGTTGTGACAGAATTGTGACATGTAGCACACTTTTTAGTTTCCTGGACTGAACGGTCCATAATATTAAAACAAAAGGCATAGAAAAGTTTAGCCCAATATTCGTTTATAAGTTATTTTATTTCATGTGAAAAGAAACGTAATATACAAAATGAAATACAAGTACATAATGCGGTTTTTGGACGGATCACACTTAAAATTAAAATATCACAGGTCAGCTCTGTCAAGGTTTTTAAGATTAAGGTAAATCAAATCGACTAGGTATATACATACACTAATCGACCGCAAGAATAAAATATTATTAGGAATCAATGGCACGCTGGATCAATGATTGGCGAAGAATTATTCATTAAATCTCAACTGTCAGAGAAGAAACCTCCCTTGCGATTCCACACAAGTTTGATCCAATGGCGACGTATAAATACCCGTTATCACCAAAGGCCGTGCCCCAAGAATTGCGGACAATATAATGTGGTGGGTTTGCAGTCTTATCGTAACCAACAATCTACAGAACAATACAAAATACGATTAAATAACTTATAATAATACCACACTAAATAATCCAGAGGTCTGAAGAATGCATGTACCTGAATTGCGTGGTTATTGTTTGCATCACAATTCCATTGAATAACACCGCCCACATAGTATTGCCAATTTGTTGCATCCACGGCTGCTGCAACCGGACCATGATGGGCCAACACCGTTAAAAGTTGATCCTCTGATCCCTCATAACTTTAACAAAAATATATATCATGAACACGCTGAGTAGTTAGTCCATAAATCTTGTATGTAGCGTATGTATTAATTACTAACCTGTCACATGTGTAATTTGAGTTTATTTGAACACCAGTATTTGAAGACTGAAGTCTGCACTTTGCATCCTCCAATGTCAAAGGGTATTGTTTCGCAGGGACCAATTTAGTGGCTTCCATCCAACCCAAAGCACCACAAGTGTCCCCTCCGTTGCATCCAAGGTTTCCGTTAGTGGCACAATCAATTACGTACTGAACACTTAGCGTTTCAAGTTTTCCCGTCTGAATGGCACGCATACTTTCTACGGTTTCTACAGTCGAAAATGCCCAGCAAGCCCCACAAGATTTCTGGTGAAGGACTGGTGTAATCACACCTTTAGTTCTCCAGTCAACTTTGTCCGGAAGGTCTCCAGGAAATGACAATGCTCTACGTTTTCGAGTAACAATAAGATTGTCTTTAAAACCATCATCTGAAACCTTGATTCCGTGTCGGCCGTGGTAGTGATGATGGTGATGTGGATCTGGGTGATTTCCATGATGTTTTTCACGATTTTTAATTCGTTCATGAATGTCAGGACGCAAGTACTTTGCCTTAAATTCCTCAGGACTCAGGTCAGAAAACTGGGTTAGTCCCCACTCTGCGTAACCTTGATTTTTGGGAGTTCCATGTCTCCACTTTTTCTGCAGCAAATATTTGTGTAATATTTCCTTGTCCTTTTCCAAATCTGGAAATTTATTTGATTCCCCATTGCTTCCTTTCAAAATGGGATGCATTGCAAGTAAAATATTCTGATCTTCGAGAGTATTTAGTTCGTGAATTTTGTCCAGCGTGTTCTAAAGGTGTATAAATGCAAAAATTAAAAATTAAAAAAAAACTAAGGTAAGTTCAACCTATAACTCTGATTTTTAAATTTAATCCTTAAAAAAAGGTTATACGTAATTACCTTGAAATGTAACAATCTTGTGTCTGCCTCTGAATCGCCATTATAAGTCTTGTTAAAAGCTCTGGAGTAGTTGCTAAATGCCAATTCAAGATGTTCCCTGTCTTCACCCTTCAAATGGAAAGGGATCCCAACGAAACAAAGGCAAGCAATCGCAGTCCACATAAGAATTGTTTTAGTTCTCGCTTCCATTCTGAATTCTTGCAAAATTGCGAAGTCCTTAAGAATGGATTAAAACTGTAACATACGAACAGCAAGTATCAGTTCTACAACTATTCTGCAGAGGTATTACAATTACAAAGTGTCAAACTATTTTATGCCTGACCTTGCTCAACAAACAACTAGAAAATTTATAAGATTATTATATTTACCCAGAGAGAAGTACATATATACACATGGATAATACAATCACACACTGAATTCAATATCAAGAATGGACATGCATGCGTTATTGTACACAAACTGTACAGAGGAACTAACTACGACACAAAATAAAACAAATAACAGATTCTCGTTGTTCTTGAGTATTATTATTTTTTCCTTTACACATCAAACCAGAGTAGAAACAGATAGCAACTTTTTTTGCACGGTCATATCAAGTTCCTTTTTTTGCATATTATTGTCTCCTCTCTCGCTTGATATACAAGTGAATCTATGTATTATTTACCAAAAACCTGTCCAGCTACAACAAACCACAATTTAGTTTAAATGCATGCATGGAGTATGGAGTTTGCAAATAATATATTTTGTGTGTATGCGGATGTGCACCAAATGAACTCACATATTAAAGTAAAACTTATGATATAACCCTCAGCCAGACGTGTCTTTATCAATCGTCTCGTCAAAGAAAATGGAAGTGAATAATGTGATATGCAAATGATCGGGTCAGTGACACATTTAATAGATAACAACTATACGTGCATTATACATATTCAGCATTATATTAAGTATGACACAAGAAAATAAATTCCTGTAAAACTTATAACTAGCATATGGCTTATCATATCAGAAACTAAAGCTTCAAAAATGTGCATTGCCTTTGAAATCCTTGTGTATCCTGAAACTCATCAAAATAAACTTTCGAGGTTTAAAATACTTTACACATCAATACAAAACATAGTAACACTCAACAATTCCTAAATGTGTGAAGCTCTGCTGATAACACAATCACTAATCACTAATCACATCACATGCTCTTTCTCTGATTTAAAGTAACCATATGACGGACTAATCATATTTGACTTTAAATGTCAACATTGTGACCAAAAAAAACTACCCATTCACCAATACATAATGAAACCTAAGATTCGAATTAGATGCCAATTACTTAATTGTTCGTAATATGACATATGCAAAAACTAAACCAATCACAATTAAAATCTCATGCAAAATGCAAAAGTTTATACGCACATTAAACGAAAGACTAAACTGTTAAAACTACATGATATTAATCAGATTCAAGCTTACCTTCTTAAACACGCCAACAATTTTGAAACTTTAGGAAAATCCTAATCCAGCAAATACCCACAAACAAACTTATTTACTAAACTCTGGATAATAATCCAATCACAGTCTCCTCTCTTATTATGTCCCTTCGTAACAAGCACCACGCATCGTGAGCCTTAGCTTGTTCCTAAAATTAGAACAAGCTCGAAAACCTTAAAACTATAAAAAATGATGAAAATTCTCAAGCAAGTTTCTCAACTGTTTTTGTCAGTGAAATAAAAATAATGTCGGTGTTGCAGACTGGTCACCTGTTTCTAATGCTTTGAGAGAGAAACGAGAAACCGCACATGGAGAGGCAGCAAATCTAAACTTGGTTTGGCCGCAAGGTTGACGAAAGAGACGCGAGCGCCACCTTCCCCACGAGCTCCACTCTCCAACTGGACGACGTGCTCTCACACTTACACACTTACAGCCTTTGCCTGCACATTGTCAGTCTCACTCGCCGCTCTTCTCTCCCTAATTTTCCTTAGCAGTGCTTTTAAAAACTAAAAATATGGCAGAAAAACTGCAAATTTCGAAAAAACGAAAGGTAAGCAAGGTTCCCCTGTCCCTTGGGTGGTGCGGGATGGTACTTTGCGAGTTGTACTAATTTGTTCTTGTCTATTCTAGTTTGTCCGCGAGGGACTTTTCCGTGCAGAGTTGAACGAGTTCCTTATGCGAGAGTTGGCCGAGGATGGCTACTCCGGACTGGAAATTCGTGTGGCCCCCAACCGCACAGAGATCATCATTATGGCGACGAGGACACAGAACGTATTGGGAGAAAAGGGTCGCAGAATCAGGGAGTTGACGTCCGTGGTCACCAAGCGGTTCGGATTTGCTCCAGGTTCCATTGAGCTCTATGCCGAGAAGGTCGGAGTTCGTGGTCTTTGCGCCATTGCTCAGGCCGAGTCCCTTCGTTACAAGTTGGTGGGTGGTTTGGCTGTTCGACGTGCTTGTTATGGTGAGTGGTGGATAAGCAATGATTTTATTTAATGGCCAAATGAATGAGATTTGTTAGTTATTGTACATTTTAATATTTTGGATACTTTGCAATATAATAAATATGTATTATTATGCTGATCATTAGGTGTGTTGAGATTCATCATGGAATCTGGAGCCAAGGGATGCGAAGTCGTCGTGTCTGGAAAGTTGAGAGGTCAGCGAGCCAAGTCGATGAAGTTTGTTGACGGACTGATGATCCACAGTGGTGACCCGACCAACCACTACGTCGATACCGCCACTCGCCACGTGCTGCTTAGGTGAGAATGAATAAATGCAATTTTAAAATCATGGACTAATCAAGTGTGCGATGAAATAAATTGTTACATATTATTTGTTCTTGTTCTTCTCCAGGCAAGGAGTATTGGGAATCAAGGTAAAGATCATGCTTCCGTGGGATCCCAACGGCAAGATCGGACCTAAGAAGCCACTACCTGATCACGTTAACGTTGCTGAACCTAAGGATGAACTGTCCTTTAAAGACATCCCAGCCATCCCTGTCAAACCAGTAGGTGTACCAGATGTGCCGGGGATGGTTGCGTAAATAAATATTTACATCTTTATTTACTGAAATTGTAATGCGCGACGACAACAGGATCATCCAGTTTTTGAATAAAATTTAAAACTCGAGTTTTTACTCTTATTGTGTGTGCACAACTATTTTCTCTATCCAGCAGCATGATGCGCCTTGTAGTTTGTTAGGTTAAAAGTTATAGAATTTAAACTCTTTTTAACCGAGACTTGTTTTATTTACCATTTAAAAAATTGTGTACATAAATACGTTATTGGCATATTAGTTAAATTTTGTAATTATAATGGTCTATCTACGTATAACTAGACGTACACAAGCTTTTTAATTGGATGCGGGTGCGTTAGGCGGAGCTAATTTAGAAATCAACGAAATGCCAGTGCGAACTCCATTCCCGATGAAGGAGGGGCATTTATCATTCATCGCCATCCTCTCGAGCAGTATCCGGAACTCCATGAACATGGTTCGAGTGTAGTGATTTCGCCGCGAAGAGTACCGGAAGGTGAGGAACCGGAAATACAAGAATGGAGAGATCAAGGAGTGTCGCCCACTGAAAAATAGGAAAAGCCGGTGATTAGACCTCAGTGGGGCACACAAAATTTAATTTAACAGGGCTTCATAATAAAGATCAATCAATAGGCAATTAATAATGCATTGCTAGTCCAATCGATTCATTTCGTTTGTATACGAAACAAGCCGCCCATCCCATAAAATAAACATTAACTGGATTGGGTCGATAAAAAAATCCTAAATTTTAGGGACTAACTTTCTTGCTCAATATACCAATTCGACATTGACTCAAATATATCGCAAATAAAAAAAAACAATACTTACGCTATTGCATAGCAGACCAAGAACCACATGATGCAAATTTCTGACCCAGCTGCCATTCGCAGAATGTTCACAGATTTGTATTCAATCAAGGATATGAAAACCCTAGCAATCCATGCTGAGTTTCTGCCGAGCGCCTGCATACAGATTAAAATAAATGAATATAGTCCACAAATTGATACTAAAACAATCAAATACAATAGCTTACATCCAGCAGAGACAGTGAGAAACTGGCGAAATGTAAGATTGCGAAGAGCACGCTTGGAGCCAGTGCCACTAAAACAATATAACAATTTAATTAACCTCGTAATTCTCTACAAATACTATTATTATCGATATTTAAATAGATTTAAAGACATACATGTCATTGGCGTTGCATACAGAAAGATGAGAGCACAGAACAAGTAGTGGAATGAATCTTCCAAGACCATTTGTTGAAAGAAGGCACGTGAAAAACTGAAATTTGGTAGGCGTTGATGCAGCCGAAGCGCCGAAGTAGCTGCGCTGGCCATAAATGCTTTGTAGTAGTATTGGACAGGACTTCTGCTCCAAACAATTCATAAAATAAAGAAGAAAAACATTAAGTCAACCTTGCTAAAGACTTGCCACAGCTTTTAATGATTCATGAATTATATATACTCACCCGAAGAGCGGTAGTATGTATCCAGCTGCAAACATGATGGTCAACAATCGTGTCAGCCACAGGGCAAAGTCGATCTTGCGTTCGATGATCAGTGCTTTCAGCCTGGACCAATTTAATGGAGGACTAGGTGGAGGGGGAGGAAGGTCCTGATTTGAATCATCAGGTATTGGACCTTGATTCGTGTCAACCATTTTGATATATCTACATAAAAACAAATATGAGTATATAAATACAATTAACAGAAAACTATATATGATCCTTGCATAATAAGTTACTTTCACTTGCCTACAATCTAAAAGTTTTATATAAACTTTTCTTATTTGTGTGCCAGATTTATACTACAATTTAGAACTCTTCGCAAGTGCTTGTCCAATTACACTACTATTTTTACTATAAATTTTTCAAATTGGACACTAACAATTTTTAAATCCAGTCGAAGTTCAACTGTTGAACTTTTCTGGGTTGATGAATAAAGTTGAATGTTGAGAAGAGAGAATGACGACGAGCCACTAATTTCATGTATTGATTTACTTGACGATGGGATGTTCTCGAATACATATGAGCTCACGGGTGCATCCAGATAAAATATGTCAAAATAGGTCACCCCCAACTCAAAATGTTGGCATCTAAGAAAACCTTGGGTGCAAATTTTGACCAGTAATTTTGCTCGATTTTTTAGTCACGGTCATTATGCGAGAGTAATGTTTACTCTCTCACTTTCTGGGGCATGACGAGTCAATACAACGATTGGAGTTATACTGATGTGTATTTTAATGGCGACGAAATGGAAATGTCGAAAGTGGCGAATATATTGACGACTAGGGTTGAGTATGGCAGAGTTTTGTACGATTAAAAGCATTGCAAGAGTATCCCCGTAAATATAAATATAAATAAAATAAAAATTCATTATTGTTTCTTCGTGAATAATTGAGGTCTTGATAGAGGTACATTTATGACCATGAAGAGAACTAAAAAAAGAAATAAGCATCGACTTTCTTGGTTTCACTGCGTTAATAAAATTTACATGTAAAAATTTTGCAAAAAGATTAGACGCCAAGGGCACCCGGGATTCCCAAGCGGTCACCCATCCAAGTACTAACCGGGCCCGACGTTGCTTAACTTCAGTGATCGGACGAGAACTGGTGCATTCAACGTGGTATGGCCCTTGACAAAGATGAATGCATCTTATTATCAATTTATGTCATTTCAAGCAGAGAAACCGGTCACAGATTTCAATCATCCATGAAAATTTGCAACTCTGGCTCAGAAACATGCTAAAATGCATGCAAATAATACTGTCTCAATCTCACACCATGACATTATGAGACTCATTTTATACGACGACCCAATATGTAGCATATTTACGACCTTCATGAAAATCAAGATTGGCGATCTACATACCAATAGGTTATCACTAGAAGTCTACAATATGCAAACTAATTTGCAAACTCCGGAGTCGAGATAAAACTGAAATGCCTTCAATCCACTGAACGCATTTCAGTGCAACTTCTTTGCACTGATTTACTTACTTACCTGTCTATACTTTCGAGATAAACTATGCAGTTATGAAGCCATATAATCTGATTTCATTATTGATAAGGGCCATAAGTGTGTCTAAATTACTGACATGTTCATAACATGGTCAAGCCACATGCTCTCACATCACCCTGTTCATGCACATTACAAGTGTATGGAAAACTTGGACCAGCCAATGGTATCTCCATTACGTCAGAGTGGTCGATGGTGGCACGATTTTGCAAAGTCACAAAACCCGATACATCATACGGCTAGACCTTCGCAGTTTGGTATCTCCATGCAAATAGCAATAATTTGCAAAAGCATTGCTGTGCTGTTCCGTGCTACCATCATCACCCTCTCGTACTTTTCTTTAGCATAAATAATATTACATTACAGGAGAGGAAGCTTATACTTATTGGTTTTAACCTCAAGTTCAATTTCAAGGAAAGCTCCAACGTGTCCGATCATTCGTGGTATCGTGGTCACTATGTCAGAAGAGCCTAGCAAGAAACGAGGCAAAATGGGATCCTCTCTCGAACAATTGAAATCTTACACCACGGTTGTCGCCGACACCGGAGACTTTGAGGGTACGTCGGTCATCTATTTTTAGCAAATAAGTATACATAAATAAATAGTAATACATTTTAACCGATATACCGGTCTTCGTTTATTAATTTCAGCAATCAAAAAATACAAGCCTACCGATGCCACCACCAACCCATCCCTTATTTTGGCAGCTGCCAAGATGCCGCAGTATCAAAAGTTGATTGATGAGTCAATTGCGTATGGAAAGAAAAATGGAAAGTAAGTATAAAATAATCTCATTAATTTTGTTTACTTTTAATGTAAAATTATATTGGTTACTTGTTTTTTATTTGTAGGACCACGGAAGAGCAGATTGAATCTGCAGCAGACAAGTTGTTTGTTTCGTTTGGCATCGAAATTCTGAAGATTGTTCCAGGACGTGTCTCCACGGAAGTTGATGCTAGATTGTCATTCGACAAGGAAGCAAGTATTGCGAAAGCCAAAAAATTTATTCAGCTCTACGAGGAGGCTGGGATCTCCAAGGATCGGATTCTCATCAAGTTGGGGTCCACATGGGAAGGAATCCAAGCAGCAAAGTAATCATGATGAGATATGAAAATGCGATGTGATTTGGTTTTGTAAAATTTCAAAATTTCCATACAAAACTAATTTCTTTACTCAGGGTGCTAGAAGAGGAGTACGGGATTCATTGTAACTTAACCCTTCTGTTCTCCATGGCTCAAGCGATTGCATGCGCGGAAGCTGGCGTTACTCTCATCTCACCATTCGTGGGCAGAATTTTGGACTGGTATGTGGCCAACACTAATCAAAAGACGTATGAACCCCAAGATGACCCCGGCGTCAAGAGTGTCACCCAGATTTACAACTACTACAAGAGGTTTGGCTACAAAACTGTGGTGATGGGAGCCTCCTTCAGAAATTCTGGTGAGTAAACACATAAAAAAGCAGTATGATAAATATGATAATATCGTCGTTGAAGGATGGAAAAGAGCCATCTCCATTTTGTGTTAAATAAGGAAAGAGCCATCTCCATTTTGTGTTAAATAAGGAAAGAGCCTTCTCCATTCGTCGTCAAATAAAAAAGGGGCCTTCTCCAAACTCCGAGTTTTTCCAGGAGAGTGAGAAACAACAAGCAATCTGAAAGTGTGAAATCAACTCTAACAAATATTTATTTCGAGAAGTATATAATTTGTTAAAAATGATAATAATCGCGAAATAAATATGTTAGCTAGAGTTGATTATTATCATTCTTAACAAATTATATACTTCTCTAATTATGACACGACGTATATACAAATTAGGTATGTGGCCACTTATCATAAATGATAACTTTTTCGGATCACTGATTTGAGATTTAGGAGGTCTTTAAATTTTCTTAACATTATCTTCTGACTTAATAATTTATAATCAGGCTTAACAATTGACATCTGCTGATTTTTCTTCTATATGTTCAGTTTTCCTCACCGTTTTTATGCCCCAATGTTTTTCTTTCAGCCAAGCCATAAATTGAAGTCATTTATTCTAATTTTCACTCAAGTATATTTTTCTTCTAATAACTGGTTGGCGACTTGGTAATTTAAATGACAGCTTATGATTTAATAAACAACGCTGCTCAATTATTTACTTCCCTTGAATTGGAAGAGATTCGCTCGACTCGAGTCGGGCGGAATCATAATATGTAAACACCAAATGCATCAACTTTCCGATTTTTTTCTCGTCGATAATTAATTTAAATAAATATGTGTGATATATTTTCTGATAAATTAGACCATGAGGATTCTGAATTTTCAAAAATCGCAGATTGCCCCATAAGTGGAGAAGGCCCCTTTTTTATTTGACGACGAATGGCAATAGCTCTTTCCTTATTTAACACAGAATGGAGATGGCTCTTTTCCATCCTTCAACGACGATATGCTGTTGTATGGATCAATGCATTATCGTGTGTGCAATAATTTGTAATAAATATTTTTTTATTTATTTGGTCAATAGGTGAAATCAAAGCTCTCGCTGGGTGTGACTTGTTGACAATCTCTCCATCTCTGTTGGAAGAACTGGATGCAAGTCAAGATGTCGTTGGAGAAATGATTAGTGAAGGGTCAGCCAAGAAATTAGATTTGGACAAGGTAGAACTAACTGAAAAAACTTTCCGTTGGATGATGAATGAAGATCAGATGGCAACGGACAAATTATCCGATGGAATTCGGAAATTTGCAGCAGACGGCGTGAAACTGGAATCGATGTTGAAGGAACGTCTGCAGAAGGTTTAAGAATATTTTTTTAAGCGTCGGTCGTCAGATCAATCAATCAGATATCAATAATCATTCCATTTGGCTCTCATTTTCTGTGTTACGTCGTCATATCATGCAACACAATAATTCTTTTCCAATAATAATCGTATGTTATTGTTAATTAATAGTTCTACTAAATAGCTACGATCTATAAACAATTAAATCAGTTCTCAACTACTTTTTCTTGTTCTTCTTGTGTGTGCAAGTGTGTACTATTATTTGTTGTTGTTACAATTTTTTCGATTTATATTTGGTACTGATGAAACAAACAAATAAGTTTGGTGATTTCATTTGCCGCAGAGTCAGAAATGCAATATAGATATAATATTTATAGGTGGTAATAAGTCAGATTTCAGGTTACGAACAGATTTTATTTGGCACGCGTCTATATTTAATTGAAGAAGTGTCCTTGCTTCATTGTTTCATCACAGTTTAGAATCCTCTTTCTCCTGTGAATACATAAACAAACATTATATCACGGCAAGTATATTTACTAAACTGCTAATGCCATAAAATTCCTTACAAAACTGAAGCTGCGGTTAAGAGAGTGTGGAGTATTGTTTTCCTCTTCAATGGTTTCCATCGGATCCTCTGTGGAAATCGCCACTGACTCCGTCTTAACCCCCTCTTCCTTTTTCTTTGCTTCCTCCTGGACAGAATTTATTTAATGGTTAAATAATGTTATAGTTAAACACAAATTCTCTCAATTTCAAGTCCACCTTTATCACATTCATCCAGTATCGATGGTTGTCCTGCAGGTGCTTCGTGTGCAGACAAAATATTTTTCTCTTTGATTTACTACTATCACTTTTATTGTCGTCAGAGTAGGATGACTCTTCATTTTCATAATCTGCCTCCTGAAAACTCATGGTGGAAATCTCATCCGCCGTGGTCTCGCCCTCACCCTCGTTCTGGTCATCCTCAACCTCGTCCTCCCAGTAGCCAGGAAGTAGCCCTGCTTCCGCACATGCCTTGCACAATGGGGCGACCAAATGGTTAATAAATGATTCTTGCAGTTTAGCCAGTTGAGGATGGTAACGGTCCATAAAGGGAGAAATAGGGAGACCGAGACGCACCTCCTCGTCACCTAGAAAAATACGGTTTCGCGATTAATAAATTTATTAGTAATAATAAATCGGACGGTATAAAACGAGTGGTAGATTTACCTTGCTCATAAAACTCTTCCGCAATCCTGTAGGTCCACTGAACGTGGATATCATGATACTTGCAAGGTCCGTTGATATCGGCGAGCTTAATACAAATCTCCATCACGAGGAGCCTGTCCTCCTCTGATGTCCAATCTATTCCAGGGGACTCTTCTTCATTGACTTTTGAATTGAATTCGGACATAATTTCAAAATGGCGTTTAAGATCCGTGGCCAAAATTGCTTCGATGACGAGGAAACGGAATCGTTTAAATTCAGCCTTATCCAAGAACTTTAAAAAGTTGTAATTCTCATTGTTCATAAGCAATGCCCATGCCGCAGCAGCATGATGATTTTCAAGCACCGAACGATCATTGTATAAAATCGCCTGTGGAAAATGAAGGACATTTTTTGATACTTCATCCATGAACATGTGATTGATTTATAGTTTTTAAAAGTGACTAAATACGATGGTGTTCAACCTGCGGGGAATTTGTTGTAACCAAGAAAGCGTTGGTCCGACCAGGATGATCATAATCATGCATTGCAGCTAAAATTATTTTAAAAACCAATGTTTTTAAATATTTTGAAATTAATATGGTCACAATTTTTAGTGTACGTACCCGCAGTGTACAATGCCATAAGCTCAAGACCTGGCAAATTTGCACCCATGATCCCATACGAGGCTTCATCCACATTGAAGCAAGCTCGTTGTCCAGACCAGTCTATTTTTCATGTACGCATTGTCAACATTTAGTTATTGCAATTATTTGTAAAGAAAACTTTAGTAAATGATTACCGGGATGTTTCGTTAGTTTACCAGAATTTGGAGTGTCAGGGTCGGGCGGAACCATCTGGAACCCTGGGATTGCTTGGGTCGTGAAATAAAACACGCCTTGCAACACATCCGCCGCATGCATCCGATTGTGATCTGTTAACAAAAACAGTATAAATTGCTGTGCAAATATTTTCTTTTTAGAAATATATAAGAACAAGAAAGAGGAGAAAAGTAGGTACAAGGTTTATTTCGATATCCCATTTCCAAAGCGTGAAAGTAGTTGATGAACTCCTTAATCGGTATTTTGAAGGTATCGAATAGCCCAGTCTCGAGGAACACTTTATACGTCATCTATACAGGGAAGAAGATCGTGTAGCGCATAAAAAATAAACCACATCGGATTGTTATCAATGTAAAAATTATTCAGAAGGTGTTTCTTATTATTCATGGAATATGAGAGAGGAACGTACATGACTGAGTATTTGGGTCTTGGAGTTGCGTTCCAGATCGAATATTGGGTAGTCCCACTCGCCCAAGCGACACAGATATGTGTTAGCAGCAATTGTGGGGAGATGAAATTGGAACCCGTCCGATGTCACAATAACTGCGTCGCGGAACTGTGTCAAGTAAAATTCATGCTTCAATTTTAACTTCAAACTGTCAACCGTGCAGTGTCTGTCAGCCTAAAACTCAAACAAGGTCAGCCTTCCAAAAAAGATTGGATCGATCAGGAATGATAAATCATAAGGCTTCAGATTTTTTATTAATATTAAAATATTCGCTCCTGCTCCACTTCCTTGGGGTTTATTATAAGTCTATCAGGCGAGAGTGCTGCTGAGGTGATTGAGACCTGACTGACAGTAATTTGAAGACGAAGGAGATGATGAAGGAAGACGATGATATCTTTCAAGTGGGCTTCCTCCAAATTTTATATTATAATGGCATTAGTCCTTCTGATGTATTTATTATTTTGTCCTCATGGCTCTAATAAATAATAAGGCCTTCAAATTCCTCCCATGTACACGATAGTACTATAGGCGGCCTACTATCTGTTTGGCGTGGCTTATCCTTAGTCCATGCACTACCCTGCTGCTGACGTGGACTTCACGACAAAGGTGAAGAAGGAAGGAAGGATGGCCGAAATAAGATAAGAAGACGTGGTTAAAATATAAATTGAAGACGGCAATTGAAGAATTTTTTGGTCACTAATACGCGGGTTAGGAGGATATATGTAGTGTTGACGACAACGACAAAAGGTTGTCAATTAAGTTGGAGGGGAGACCTTGAACGCGGAGAACAAACATCTCGGAACTCGAGTTATTAAGTTAGAATTGAGAATCAATTACGAGAAGAACAAGATTTGCTGCCTCTTCATCATTCTCACTCGAGAAACCTCCGCGCATTGTCCTCGTCCTTTTCTTTCGAGACCACATTTTTGTTGGACCAATTCGAAAGTCATTGAAGGTAACCACTTCAAAGATGAGAACAACGTCGTGTTACACGGAGCATTACTCTGATAAATGTCTGATATGTACGGTCCAAAAAGTTGGGATGAGAAGAGAGTGAAGCTGATTTGAAGTAGGTACTATCCGAAGAATAAGACGAAGAGGAAGCCACATCGTCTTAGGGATGATGAAAACAAAGAAAGTTTTTAAAAGAAGAAGACGAAGAAGACGACGAAACTAGCGGTGTATGAAATAGATTGCTTGCAAAGGAGTCAAGTTCGAAAATCAATATTAGAAAGAGGACAGATAGAGAAAGTGGCCACAATTTCCAACAACTTCACAAACAACTTGGAATTACTTTGTCCAGAGACTCAAGTTTGGGCTAATAATCCGGACTCGCCTGACTTCTACTTTCCTTGTGGCTGCTTCTTGGCTCTTCTTCTTGTACACACTATTTACGGCGTGTGTGTGCCATCACACCGACGACCGACCAAGTGAAAAGCTGGCTTAGCTTCCAAAATTCAAGGAAAAAGAAAGTTGTGACAAGAGTGAAATGACTTAAAATGTCATTTCATCATACTGAAAGGAGTTCATTATTTCACTAATAATCTATTTGCTGCCCGTGTACACAGAATGATGAAACATGTACGTGACTGGAATGCTCGTCATAATCACGAAGGATGAGACCGTATGAGGAAGGCCATGGTGTCAGCCAGCCAGTAACTTTTACTTTTGCACGCTCTCTCTCTCTCTGTCTCTACTGGGACAAAATGCATGAGATACGAGTCAGTCATGTACATATGCTTATTTGTATTCCAGCGTTGAACCTAAAATTATTTGACAGAGTTGCGAAAATACTAATAAAATAGGAATCAAAAATTTTGATGGCCATTCCTGAACTTATTCAGTAAACTACATCTCATGCGGACTTCCTTCCTGCACTTTCTATTTTTACGATTTAGGATATTTTTGATGCCACTTTTTATGATGGATGTTTATTGGATGGTAGTTTGAAGTAAAAGAAATCATGGTGGACCACCATCCGTCACAACCAACCATCGCGTATCAACGACCATCTTCGAATGAATGGCGATGGATGTTTTTAAAAAGCAAGGTTATCTTTTTCCTGAAAGGAGAAGAAAATGATGACTTACGTCTTGAAGTTCATCCTCCTGGTCATTATTATCCGTCGGTTCTTGGAGCGTGAAAGTGACGGGACTGAGTCTCACAGAGTTGGAATTGCCAGAAGAGCTGTCAGGGGGGCCTGGACCATCTCCCAGGGTGCTCGCATTGCTGCAATCCTCGTCAGGATTGTCCAAGTATGGAGACGTGGACAAGTTCCTCCCACTGGGAGGGGACGAAATTTCGTTAATTTCAACCAAACCGAGCCAAATATCATGACGACGATATTATTCACTACCTGAGAAGCCCCAAAGAGTCTCCATCATTCGTTGTCCCCGGCCCCGTCGGCGTGGGCTGTTCCGGCTGAAATATCACCTTGGGTGGGGAATAGTCTCTAAATCGACTCTCAGACGCTGACGTCGTGGATGTCGGTGGTAGATTTACGATGGACAATGGTTCCGGTTTTGGATGGTCAGAGGCTCGCCGGGCTGAGAAGTTGCAGGGGGAATGGTCCCTGGAGGGGACTGGGGAGGGGATGGGAGACGGGATCGGCGTTCCTGCAGGACTGCTACGGTTGGACCCAGCTGCGGATACGGAGGCTGACTTTGTAGTAGACGAAGAAATACCCGTCGACGCTGCCAGAGCGTTAAGATGAGTGAGGTCTGAGGGAGATAAAGGATGTAGGCTACAGACTGTTTTCCTCTGGGCGGATTGTTGCGGGGTGGGAAACTCTTGGTGGCTGAATCGACGACGACTATCTTTATTAGCACACATGAAAGTCAGACATATAGAACGTCATCACAAAACACACGAACATTCCGCATTCCGTATTAAACCATGCGGTTTCCATAATCCAAACAATTCCGTTCAAATTATATTTTAGTAGAACACATGCATTTCACAACAAAGTATGAATATACAATTAGTAGTAGAACACGAGAAAAAATGCGACATTAATATTTTTATCGTGAAGAAGAAGAGAAGTGAGTTCGAGAATGGCATCCCATCAGATCAGACGAAGAGAGAGAGAGACACATTATAGAACCACAGCAGGCGATGTGGATTGATTCCCACAATTAACATGAAAATAAACAATCAATGAAAGTCAATGAAAGATTCAAGATTTTTTGTTAGTTTTCGTTAGTGCCCAAGTTCTGTTTTACGATTTCCTCTTAAAATTATGATTCGTTGGCTCGCTGCTCATTACCACCGTCCTATCAACTAAATTTAATTAGGGGATTAGTTAAAATGGAGAAAAGAGACTCGAGTGAAAGCAACTCGTTTTATAACTTTTGATGACTCGTGGAATTAATTATTCATTCTGCGCATCAGTCTGACTCAATTCAGATGTACATAAAAGTGCTATGGCATAAGTTGCATGAAATGGAAATAAAATTACCATTTGACTTTTTAATGATGGAATTCTCCCACTTTGATTCCCAACTATTTTCAAGATATCAAATGGAGATATCTATCTTTCAGGTCTGTTATGCAACACAAGAAATCAAATACATCCACTTCATCTTCTATTTGGTGAAAGTTTTCATGGTCAATTCAGTAATTTATCAGCAGCGATTATGACGTCTTGTTCTCGCCTGTCTTTGTTTATATATAAGAAAAGGTAGCCGTTTCAGAGGCTCTGACATTGAAGGTTGTAAAGAAATGCGATGATGCTGACCAAAGTAGTCTTTCTTGATGCTTCTACTTGTACATACTCCGATATACCAAAAAGCGTCATCTCCATGAGGAAAAAGAGAAAGAGGGACGACGACGAGAAGAAGATCTCCAATTCTAAAACCGAGTCCCCAAGGAGTATCCGACGTCGATGGTTCGACCGACGACATGGACAAAATATGTTGTTGAACAATTCATCACTCTTCTCCATCTTTCACAAACAAGGACCCGCTTGCTTTTCACCACGACCAGCTAGCTCAACATCATTTATCCTTATCTCGCACACCACACAATGTGCGATCCTTCTCTTTGTTCTCATTCAAAACCATGGTCCTCAAGGACAAGGAAAGACGTATTTGAAAACTGGCTAACTTTAACCAGTGAAATATATGCTGGTTGGTTGTTGGTTGTTGGTCGTTCCATCTCAAATCAGATCTTTTGTTGACAATAAGAAAATGGGAGCGTCCGTGGTGTCGTGGATAATGATGGTGGTTCATGTCCACACAGCTAGGAAACACCAAGTACCAACCAGGATATATAAAACCCTGCTGCATAAATGTTGGACATGCGACCTGCCTACAGGAAGTCTACAAGAGGAAGGACAAGAACAGAGAGCGAAATGTGAGAAGACGTTACAGTTTACGCTTCCAAGCTAGTTAGACGGGCGACTCTTTTGCTTTTGCCAACTTATCATCTTGATAAAATGTGGACGAGTTTGTGGGAGTTTGACTTTTCTCCAATTCTTCCTCTCGTAATACGTAAGAAGTACTTATATGAAAACCCTTCGTCATTTCGTTTCTCATTTCCTGCTCTAAAATATGTACTTTGCACTCGAACAAGACATGTCCACTTCCTACATATGCCACCACCCCACCAACAACTTTGTGACAAACACTTGAGTATTTCCGGACTTTTCCTTTTCCCGATAAATATTTCATTCAGTAAGAGCAAGAAGTAGTTTGGAAAAAGTATTGTGAGCACAAATGCTCTCATTGTTCACGCGGAATTAGTAGAACCACTCGTAGAACCAGACCTATCTAGTTGTACTTAGAAGAAAAAGAGGAGGAGGAGGAGGGAAACTGATAGGGTTGCCGATCCTATCCTATCCTATCCGATCGGATAATCCGAGATTATCCGACACTTGTTATAACATGCATCCTATCCGAGGCTCGGATATGATAATTATCCTATCCTAGTGTCGGATATCCGTCATCCTATCCTATCCGATCGGATAGGATAACGTCGGATAAAAACGGCAACCCTAGAAACTGAGCTCTGATAAGGTTTTGGCAAGCCTAAAATAAATTTGCATAAAAACGTGCCCTTACGTTCTTACTTACCAAGTGCAAGTCTCGTAAAATTTGGCAAATGTGCCGCAATAAAATGACACATTTAAATGCTGTGCAGCATAATAAACGCCTCTGTTCTATTTATGTATTGCATTTCTCGTGAAAAGGAAAGTAGTGAAAAATTAGTTTTCTTTTTTAAGTTTATTTTGCACATGAGTTTGTCATTTCGTTGTGAATGTCAAATTTGGTGTTCAAATTAATGTATGTAAAGACTTGTAACAAAATTACCACCACCGCCGCCACGGCCGTGAAGGGTTGCATAATCACAAGGTTAGAAGGTTCAGTCTATTAGCTGCTACTTGTATGAACTATAGTTACTGGGAGAGTAAAATTCGATTTATATAATTTGCCGTTACGAGTGCACTTTGTTACGTCGGCTGGCTTAATAAGCCATCATTTCGAAGTAGCAGGAGCCATGTATACTTTGGAACTTTGGTCGCTAAATGAATCCTATCATGTGGTTCTCTGGTTTTCATGTGGTTCTTTGGTCTTCACCAAAGGGAAAGTAGCCTCGGAATAACATGTTTTTCAAGTGAAAACAAACTGTAAGAAGGTATAATAAGCTTGAGGCGGTTTGACAGGGTAGGATCTGGATCTCTCTAAAAATCTCCTTGGTCCTAATTCCTATCATCCTTCCGGTAATGAGCTCATCATTCCCAGCAATGCTGAGTTTATATAGGCTTTTCTCATCATTATGGTGAAAGGAGTGGAATCCCATCTAGCTCTCGCCCGTCACCAACCAGCAACCAACAGAATCCCAGTTGTCCTTTCAGTCAAAGTATAATTGGCCACGACCACTACACGACGACAGAGTCAGTCCAAAATTCAAGGGAAATGATTGCGGGATAGAATTAGTGGTGCTTGTGGCTGCCTTCGTGCCAGGAAACAACCACAGCCAAGGTCTGCATTATACCCTTAATATAGCAAAGTAGTCGCCCTCGTCGTCGTCGCGCTGGCTGATTGGGTACTAACTATGACGCTGATGATGATGACCAATAACTACTATATAATATTATGGCAGAGTGAGCATTATAATTTGGGGACAAACGAGCCGTCACTCTGACGCACTGACTAGAATGGACAACGACTAATGCAAACATAGTTAGCAGAATTACAAATTAATCACTTGCTGACGTTGGTTGATTTGCAGCGGTATACGAGTCACAGATTGATATCTCTCTCCCTCTGAACTTCACATGTGGATGGATACACACACAAGTGTGCACACATTTTACTCATACGTGTGCACATATGGGAGGTGGGGAAAGTAATTTTTGAGCCGTTGAGCAGACCACACTTTACCAAATGATCGAATCCATAACTTTCTTCCGTGTACGTACATATGCTCGGCCGTGGACTGGACTGACAGCCATAATTGGAACGAATGAAGGAACAACAAGGCCGGCACTGCCATGTCGCAATGCAAACATTTGTCGAGTAATCAAGGCGGCTATTAATACTTGATCACAACTCCGCGGCCGTCGTATACAAATTAAAATTGAAATGAAAGCCAACCTGTGGAAGCATTTACAGCGAATCCGCATGCGGAGAAACTACGAGCTTTATGAGAAGCCTGTAACGCTGCGTTTGGAATGTGTGGCGTGGAGGTGGCGGGTTGTTGTTGTGACATCAGCCCGGCAATGGAACCCGTCAGCGGCGTCCCCATCTTGAAGGTGGCGAATGCGGGCGTGGTCGTCGTCGGGAGGAGAGAATTGTTCTCCTTGTTGTTCTCCAGCAGGGTGATGGGGATCAATCCGTACTGTTGCGTCGGACTGCTTCCGGGCGGAGTCCCTTCTGTTACAACCATAGTTAGCATTCCAACCCTTAAAAATGTATCAAACATGCATCTTGCAATTAGATGAATATGTTGATGCAGGTGAGAGTCACAGGAAACAAAATGCAATTAGTGGGAACACAGATTCATTAGTCAAGCTTGGCATGTTAACGTCATCACATTATTATTACTTTTTATGGTCATGCATTATATGCCGGCAAGCAAATATACATAAAATCTGTCCAGCATCAATTACTTACTTGCACACGCTGGTTCAGATCAGGCAGAGAGACAACGATAACTGACAAGCATAGGATCATCATGACAAGACAAATGCATAACACACATACACAGATACGTACGTATGTACCTTGTATCACGATGTTTTTAGTCACAGTCAGAATTACTGGTACAAGACAAGAGAGTAGGAAACAAGCTGAAACACCAATTCCAGTACAATCATGCAATAATGATGAGATTTTTAGTTTCACAGATGGGATTAGGATCCGTTTTGAATCACCCCGCATTCAAATATGTACATAGATATCTACACATCATTCATCATCAGCATAATTGGACAACAATTACATGCAGAGTGCTCGAGAGTCCCGTTTGTGGTTAGAAACCGAAACTTGTGGATTAGCAATGCAGGGAGACACAAAAGAGGAACCTGACTGACGAAGGGAAGACGATGTTTGGAGAAGGACACATTAAGACGGCAGCACAAATGACTCAAGAAGAAGGGTTAGTTAGTCAGGGAACTGAATGTCGTAGCTTAGAGAGAAAGACGAGAAAGGACAGGGCTTGAGGTGGGGTTGGGTCAAAAGTGTGTGTCTGTATATACTTAATATTTACTCTTAAATTAAAAAGAAAAACTTACCCATTGCGGATCGAAAGGAAGCAGATCGTCTTCTTCGTGCATGCGGTTGAGGTTCTAAAGTTGGCTGTAGATTAACGAAAACAAACACGGGTTTGGTTGACTCATAAGTACAGACGACGGAAATAAAATTATCATAATATTAAATATTACGGAGAAAGCATGACTACATATTTAGGCAGCCGACTGGATAAATAAAGCTGCTTACCATTCCTGTGGCTGATGTGGTAGTGGTCCACGTGCTGGTGGACATTCGGCGGAGTAGATTGGCTGAAACACCTTTCTTCCCAGCGCCAGAGTTCCGCTGTGACACACATGACACCAAAGACAAAACTTTATTAATTTAAAATCCAAAGCGATATTTTATTAAACATTCTTCTCTCCTGGCCACACTCTCCACATCAAAGCAAAAACCCACTTATTCGCCGACTTCCTCCTCTCCGCCGACCTAATTCCCATCTCATTCGTTGGACATTCACGTGTGCATATGTTGTAAAAGAAGTTCCTTGTTGTGCATGGCAGCCGTCTACACAATCCACATTCAAACCCTGTTACTTTGTAGATTAAAGACAAAGCAGGGACCACTCCCGTTTCGAACTACATACTTCAACTCGTGCAGATGGGAAACATAAACTAAATATGAGCATCAGGTCAAAAAAATTATGGTCTAGTCCTTCCACCAAGAGGAGGCGGAAATTGGGGTAAAACTCTTAATAAAACTGTGGCCACCACCACCGAGCCCAACAGACAAACGACATAGAACAGGAGGAATGGAAGTTTTTATTTTCATTCATGTATTTTTGATGTCTTCATCATCCATGAGCAGTCGACTCGAACTATAAAAACAAACATTTTTGCATGTCTGGCCTTGGTGGTAAGTCGCGGTGTTGCACCATCGTGCATATATCTGTCACTTTTGCCGTTGCTCAAAGCCCGGAAAGAATTGCGTCATACTTATGGCAAAAAACTTGTCTAGCCCGATACTCATCCAAATATTTTGACTTTACCTAGCCCAAGTATTGTACGACGCATAGACGATCCACAGGACAGAACGTAATTGGTCAAACTAAGGAAAGTAAGAACTTGTGTACTACACAAGATATTTTTCATTTATAGACTGGACTGGACCTACCTAATTCTTCTCTCAAGTAGTGAGTAACAGTGTTTCGAAATAAACGAGGTCCTCCTACCATTAATGCCACCTGACCTAACCAACCTTGCTAAACTGCTCCAGTGAGCATTGTAATGACCAACGGAGCAAGAGAAACTCTAAACAAACAGTTGTGTGAAGTGAAACTTGAAAAGTCACCAAGTACCAAGTGCGGACGACTACAGCGATGAATCGAAATCCACCTGCTTGCTCGTGCTTCCGATGAGAATGCCATCTTTTCAAGCAGGAGAGGAAACTTTCCTCCCAATTCAATTCAAAAGTTAGCTTTTAGTTAAGTTTAGACAGCTTATTTAGTTTTTTTTTGCTGGTTGAGCTAGAATTGAAGTGGAGAAAATTGGAGTGAGATCACAAGTGAGCTTTCAACGGTGAGGTTGGAGAAGTTCCTCTCCTCGCTCGTTCCCTCTCTCTCTTGAGAATCCCACAGTCTCTTGAGGCTCAAACTTTCACTCCACCTCACCTTTTGATGGACGCACGAAATAAGCGACCATTTTTGATTCCTTTCGGTTGCCCCACTTTCTCCTCGCCTCTTTGCAACATGTCGTTGTATGTAAGGTCAGATTTTAGTCGGTGTGTGGTTACTTAATTATGAGACCAGATTTTCGGGCTCCTGCATAGAATTTGTATAAGTATTTGAGCTTATAGAGACCAATTAGGAAGGGATTCGGCTACAATACGTCTCAAAAGTGCCCCAATTTATTGATGTACATAATTTACCCTTATGTATGTAGAAACAGACCTTATTACCATTATGCAACCTTACATAAGCTGATTTTATGCTAGTGACGACTATACAAGTATTTAATCTGTACAAGTTAACGCGAAATAAAGTAGCTAATTAAGTGAAAGTATGTACATATGTATGACGCAAATGCTCCTCTGAGCCGGAATGTGTATGCGTCAAGGAGCAACCTCGAATTGGTGCTGGGAGAGACGAAAAAGGAGGAAAGAAGGACAAAAGAGAGAAAGAAAGTGGTCCATCGAAGGTGATCTCGTCGACATATTATTCGAAATGACGAGGCTTAAATGAATTGACCAAAATTCGAGTCGAGTCAGCCATGATGGTGTTTTCGTCTCCTTTATTTCCTCTCCTCCTCAAGAAGACACGAGTTGGACGGAGAGGCCGAGAACCAATTTTTCAGCCTGTTTGGTGAAACTAGAAATGACTCCTTCGTGGCTGAGATGCCCTTCTTGAGTCGATTGCCCAAATATAGCGTCTCCCAAAGGAGTGCTTTGTGGCAACTGAAGACGGCTGATAATTTATGAGTCATAATGAAATAAGACAACGCTACATCGATTCTCTTTCGCTGACAACAAGGAAAAAATCCTCCTCCTACTCTTCTCTTCACGACCACAATTAGACGACAACTCGACGACTCAACCGGCTGCATGTCCACGCACGAAATACAGACAATTTAATATATAACAATATGTATCATACGGCTCTGTACCATCACCCAATGACTTTTTTATGCAACAGCTTTCAGCCATAATAAAAATGTCTCGACTTATTATAATAATAACTCCTCGGCCACCAGGATGTCCACTTTTTTATACTATTTTTCGCTGACCTTTGGCATTGTAGAGAGTTTCTCGCCCGTGTAGGGGATTTCGTCCACGTCGGACGTGTACTCCGGGTCTGTGGTGATTGAGAGGGGGGCCGGGCGTGGTCGGGAGGAGCAATGCATGGGGGTGGGCGTTGGTTTGAGCAGCGTCGCCAACGCCTTGAGCCCAGCCACGATGTTCGGGGGGAGGGAGGCTTGGTCCAACAACATTTCCGTCACGAGGCCATGTGCCTCGTACAGCAGCGCAGTATCCACCACTCCGCTCCCCTGCAAAAATACAATGGCAAAAAGAATGTTGGTTAAAAAATTGGAATGCGATGCAAGCGAGCAAAATACACTAAATATTTGAGGCGTGCAGTAATCAACAATTAATACTATTACGAGTTTACACTTGGTTTGCTGCATTTTAAGCAGTCTCCTCCGAGTGGAAATGGGAAAAAATTTTGTGTCGCTGGTTTCTTCCAGTCAGTCAAGTAAATGATTTCTACTTTATCATCGTATTCTATTGCATTAATTTGTGTTTTCCAAGAAACAAGAAGAAAAATTAGGCTGGGAAGGATGTCGCTGTCCAAAGTTGAGCAAAACTGGAGCATTTCTAGCGGAAGTAGGGAGAAAACGTAATAAAGCTGCTCAGAAAGTGGAAACAATTACGGGAATTGAATATGTGTATGGATGTATGTAGCTGGCTCAGAAACGGGGACCAACTGGTTCCAATCTTTTAATTAGATATGTCAAATTTATATAAGGGAGATATTTTACACATCGACAAATTTGAGAGTTGGAACATTTTCTATAAACAGAAAACCAAAAGGAGATGCTAGATTTCCAGTGTCAAACATTGTTTATTAGGAGAAATTCTCAAGGTTGGCAACAACAAAAAGTGAAGTTGGATTGTCGTTGTCGTTAGTGACTAATTTAAGTTTTCCTCTTCTAAGAAGATACAATTAGAACTAAATTGGCAATTATATCATCATGAGCAAACATGATAGAAAACTCTTATTTTTATCATGCTACTTATTTTTAATTAATTGATCAGTAACATACAACCATAGCATTTTAAAATTTGTATTCGTATACGGACAACCAACCGAGAAAGGCCCTCTGGCTGGCTGATTGTTTTAAGATCACGACTCATCCTTCATCTCTCGGGTATTTATGTGCCTCCTTTAACTATGTCAGTTGCATAATAGGCTGAGCGAGTTTAATAATATTTTGAATTTCTGGAAAACCTTGCCCTGATTTAAACACGAGTAGCAATGTTGATGATGATGTCGCTTTTGGATGACGGCAAGTGAAAGCGACTGTTTTTCCCTGGGTGAGAAAAGTTTCATGCTGAGATCCTCCTGATGAAAGGCGACGACAAGGAAAGTAAGCGTCCTTTTATTGCGTGGCAATGTTCACTACTTTCACAATGTCTCCGTCCCTGGATTCCATTCATTTTGAATGTTGACATAAAATAATGCAAAGTAAGGGTGGAAAGTCATCTCGACTGGCTGAGTGAATTGTGCTGTTTCTCTCTCTCGTGCATTCTTCCTTCTTTTCGAGGGGAGAAAGTTGAACAGAAATCCTCTCCACAAATAGCAGCACCAGCCACGGCTCATTTCACTGGACACCCATTTATTCTCATCCCATCTCACTCTTCATGGGGAAAAATGCACAAATGTGAATAGAAATTCGGAGCAGTGGTGCAGGCAGTCAAGTCAATTCGCACCACCGCAACTACCGAATCCTCGAGAAGAGAAGAGCAATTTTCACGTAAATCCAAACTCTTTTTCGCGAATAGAAGAATACTTTTATCTGGACGAGCCTTTATTTTATGTGAATTCACAGGTTTACGAGTATATGATTAGGCAAAAAGAGTCATGGTAAATTAATGGAGATATCCGATTCCCATAAATAATGAAGCCTGTTAAGCAGATGAAAGTCGTTTTGGAAAAAGAAGCTGGGACTGATTGTGGCTGTAAATATTAATCCCTGCAATTTGCAAAGCTGCCTCAAAGAAGAAGAGCGAATGGGAGAGAATGGATAGACTCTGAGGTATCCCACTCAATGGCCTTCAACATAAATTATTCCTCGACTGGAGGAAGAACGAGACAGGAGAGATCCTGCTAATAAGACTGAAATTATAACACCGACAACAAAACAATGGAGTCAGTCTGTCGGGGACGGCGGCAGCGATGATGATGATGATGTTGGTTTACTTGGTTGGTTTTGTTGCTGTGAAGTGAGTGAAGCTTGTTCATTGTGCAGGAAGAATCAGGCCAAGAAAGTCCCGACAACGAGATGGGGAAAGTGCGAGGCAGGGGATACGCGTCGTAGATGAAAACAACATTCACATTAATGTTTAATGAGCTAACCTACATTAGAGGAGAGACATAAAGCCTTTTAATCCACGACTAAGTAGATCTGTCAAAAGGAGAACATTTTATTGTGAAATGCATCACTTGGTTCTTGAATTGGAGAGTATGGGAGGTAATAATTCCGCATTTATGGATCAATATAGGTACTCCAACCTTCCAATAAAATGTGGACAAGGTTCTGGAGAAAATTCAATGAGAGAAGTCGTCATTAATTCCCATATAATAAGTAAGTACTCCTTCTCCTTCCGTTGATGTGGGGGACGAGATTTATTCCCGTGTGAGTGAGCACATAGTCAAAGAACAGAAAGATTTAATACGTCAAGGAAAGCAATTTTGGGCAAAAATGAATGTTTTAGTTCACCATCTGCAAATGATTGCCTTTATGCAATCAGTTTTCCGTGTACTTACACAACTATTAAACGACACTTACGACGACCTTACCACCAATTTGCCTAAAGTACAGCCAGAGGTCGACTCATAGTCATAACTTGAACTGCTGCGGAACAATTTAAGGAAACCATTGTGGTGGTTGGTTGTTGGTTCTTTGGTATGGCGGCAATAAACCAATTTCACGCTTTCCGTAATTTCCGTTATTTAAGACACTTTTTATTCTTCGCATCGTGTTAGTTACGACCCACGTGGCAAGCATATTAAAGGTTCGTATGATAAAATGAAATGACATCTCCATCTTCAATTCTACATATACGCACTCCTCGCCACTTCTACCACATGCAAACTAAGGCTTTATGATCCGTTTATTCCTCCACTTGCCAAAACTTTGCTCGCAAAAGTCCCATTTCATTTTACTCTCGAGAAGAGAGAGCTATCGTTCCTGCCCACACTACACGAACGGCCGGACTTCTTATCAATCAAAACTTTCCTCGCGTGAAAGAAAAAACCGATGTGAACTTTACTTTACTTTGTTTGCATTCCAAAAGCCGGAAATATTGCACAAATATCAAAGTAAAAAAACTGGAAATACAATTTAAAAAGAAGTCACGACTCGTGAGTCGTGAGGTTGAATCTGATTTACAATTTTACAATGAACGAATTAAAGCGTGAATTACATATTCGAAAATGAAATCCCTTCATACCTATCAGATCCTTATATCACTATATTTTAATTAAATTCCATCTCCTTCCATCCAATTCAAGCTAGAAAGCACACAAGTGCGTAGGTATTTACAAAAATACGGCCTCCGTTTTTATATAGTTTTCTTGAGAAAGTAATTAAAATCCTGCTCAACATATCCGCTACTTAATATAATAAGCATTCCCTCCAGTCTGCTCATAACAGTTCGCGTCACGACATAACTTGTCAACTGCCAGCAGGAATGTCCTTATTCTCAGCACGGACCGAGCCAAGAAAAGCATTTTCAACGGTCGGTCACAAAGGAAACTGCAGAGAGAGAGATTTCTGGTGGTGGTGGTGGTGGTGGAAGGGCAAAGTGATTATTTACATGGCATCATCTCGTCCTCAACCACCGACCGAGGACGGACAATGGAGTCCAAGGAAAGGAACTTGCTTCGGGAGAGTGGTGAAAGTGACCTGCTTCACTGGAGCAGAGACGATGGCCGGCCAGACCTTCTGCCGGGATGATGATGATGCTGACGAGTCCATCAGTAAGTGGTGACCACCACCATGCCCCCGCTAGAGGAAGAAATGGCAACGTATGGACACCAGCAAACAAGGGCCTACGACACGTGTGAAAAGATACTAAAAAAGCTGGTGCTTATTGACTCGAGGAAAACACTTTTGGTACAAAATTCCAGTTTTAATAAAATGAAATGTAGGGAAGAGAAGGATGAGTAAACGATTGGTCAGGAGACAAATTTTAGTGGATTGTGTGCGGTCGGATGATTATATGTGGACATGATGGTGGTGGACGGAGGAGAGGAAGGCATAGAGTGTAGACAAGGTTGAAGAGATCCAATTCAATTGCATCCTGCAGGATTTCATTTACCATTCCATTCCATTACTCCAATTCTTCTCCAAATCTACTCCAATCTCTCTTGAGAGCGCTCCTCGATACCTCTCTGCGGACAAATTGTCCGTGTCCAAGGCATCCAATCAGTGATAAAATCCGAGATTTTTATTATCTCGCTCTCTCCCTCGCTCGCCCGCCTCACTTCCATTCCAGTCTGGAATGTCAAATGTCTCTCGTCCAAATTAGCAAAAATAAGCTCCCTCCTCAACACCTGCTGATCTTATAAGCAGTCCTCACTCAAATAATCCCCGCTTATTGATCCCTCGTCGATGCCCCATTACTTATTTACCACTACGACTCAGCATCATTACGTAAGGAGCTCCACTTTCGAGAAAATGTGCCACATTCATCACCCATTAATTAAACGGGAGCTGGTTACGGCGAGGGAGGAATTTATTCTTACTTTTCACACCTTTTCCTATTCACAACCAAGGAGTGTACAGAATGAAAGATTGTTCCGTTCGATTTCGCCAATTTTTTTCTGGCACTTGGTTTAATTGGCTTTTCAAAATTCGATGAGTTTCCTTATCATCTTTCCAATATGATTCACTCATTACCGGAATTTTCGCATATTTATTTCCTGCGAGGCTACGGGGCAGACGACCGAACAATGGAAATAACTCTGTAACCAGAGAAATGGGAATAAACCACTGCTGGACGAAGGAGGAGAAAGCAGCGGGATTCAAACTCTGCATGCTTCACTCTGACCTTTGCTTTGATTAATGTGAAATGAAGGCCAGTAGTGTGCCAGGCATCTTATGTTTGCCTCTGAAAGGTTTATTGAATTGCAAAGACGCGTAAGGAATCTGAACATGTACAACCAAGATATTCGGGAATATTACGGTGATAAACTCTGCTTTCTCCCATACGACCGTAGTTTAGTTGGGGAAAGCACCTTGCGTAACAGAAAAAGGTCATT